GACCGATAGCTTACGGTCTCGAGACCGAGACTGTACTTGAGTACTACAACGCTGAGTTTTAGACTTCACCACAAGCAGTAATACCAAACACTCTTGGTCTGTCATGCCACTCAAGAGATGTAGATTGTGCTCTTAAACAGACCTTGGCTAACCCAACAGATAAAAAAACTGTTTAACTGACATTTGCATTGACCTGTTCCTTATCAGACGAGCCTCCACTGGCAGCTGGATTTGGTTAAAATAACATCAGCATTCATGTTTGTCTTGACACACCTGATCAAATGAAATGTTGAGTTTCAAAGTGAACACATCCTCTACAGGGAACAAACTTAAATACGGCATTTTTCAATTTTACAACACTTTCTAGTTTAACATACTAAATAAAAACCATAAAATATAAAGTGAGTGCCATGACTTTTGCACAGGCCACATTTTATGCTTTATGTTTCTGTCCAGCATGTTTAATTCAGTGTGTTCTCCATAGAGAGTGTGTTCATTTCTTTTCACTTGGAAAAGCAACAAAACAGATAAACTGACCAGGGGCACCAAAACAAATTAAGGAGTCATGTTAAAATAATGATATGACAAAAAAAATCAATTACACAATTTCCCTCTTAGCCCAAAGGTAGTCGAACAACCAAGACATGATTGATGTCCACATTTGAGTTATATTTGTGGAAAAGATTTGGGTGATTATTGATTTCTAGTGTTTGCTAGCTGCGTTAGCCTCATAGCTCCAGTGTTAAATTAAAGAAGGAAAATTTGGACACCAAATGTGTTTTTTTTTTTTGCCAAAGTTTTGCAATATATACAATTCAAACATCAACCATAAATGAGTCCATTTCTCAGGGAAGGCTGTAGGGTTTCCTTCCTTTCAATTAATATTAAGTCGAGCTGAAGATCCTTAAAACATTTTTAAAATGGATTTAAATTTATGCTACTGTGGAATTTTCAGAGAAAAGTTTTGGAGAAATAATTTGTTTCTCACTAATGCAAACAGAGAAAACACCTCAACAAGAGGAAGCTTGACTTTTTTTATTTATAAACAGCTCCTTGATGTTGTGCGAATATCTGACAATGTACGGATAATAGAAAAGTTCCGCTATGAGTTATGAATGTTTTTCCTTTCCTTTGACGCACAATGTTGCTTCAAGGCAACATACTCCAAAAGGACCCCTGCACACATTATTATTATTATTATTTTTAATATTTTGAATTTAATAATTGGATCCAAAAAAATAAATAAAGGACCATTTTATGCAAGAAAAGTGAATAGAATTTTTTTTAATTGCTCTGATAATGCGAGCAGTAGAGGGTGAACCTTTTAACTGGCTCCCTATGTTTGCCTGAAATGGCACATGCAAAGAAAAGGTTGTTGAAACAAATGAAACGATGGTAACTGCTGTGAATAACGGGTCATAAACTGGTTTGCGAGAATCCAATCCTGAGATTTCAACCTTTCTAATGATACATTGCATCACTGTACTTCTGGAAGTGAACGCTTTTCACCTTCGCATTTAACCCATCTGTGCAGTGAAACACCACATACACACTAGTGAGCCCTGAGCACACTTGCCCAGAGCGGTGGGCAGCCCTATCCACAGCACCCAGGGAGCAGTTGGGGGTTAGGTGCCTTGCTCAAGGGCACTTCAGTCACGGCTGTCACTGTCGGCTCAGGGGATCAAACCGACGACCTTCCTCTGTAATCCTGGGCAAAGTGCTGTTGTCGTGTGTTTGAAGCCTGAAGAATGATGTTTCGTTACCATGTATACAAATTACATTGAGGAAGCACATCAAAGACCACTTGACTTGACACTCAACTGCTCAAATGGCCAGGACCCACCAGCGGGTCCAAAGTTTTACTACACACTTCTATAACCTAAGAATAACTCAGCTAGTTTGCACTGTAGTCTATGTCGTTACTGAGTAATAAGCCTTAGTATGTAATAAGCCTGGGATTTTGAGGGGTTAAGAAAAGTTATAAACATGAAAGTCTCCAGAAAACATGATATTAACCAGATAATTACTGAGGAACTTGAGCCGCAGAACTCAGTTTAGGGGTTAATGTCTAAATAAATAGCATTTTTTGGGCAACATGCATAAAAATGAATGGAGAGTAATAGAGCAGCTCTCTTTTTAAAGTACTTCATTTTGGTCTTAAATATAGCATCACATGTACCCTTCTGGATCAAGGCCATTTCAAATCAATCAATCAATCAATCAATCAATCAATCAACCTTTATTCAACACATTTCCAGTGTTGCCAAGTTGACAAAGGAAACAGGGACTAATAATATGCAAGAACATATCAAATAATAAAAGTACATTTAATAGTAAAAATGACTAAAATCAGGTAAGAATAAAAAAATTAAACAATAATAAAAAATACATAAAAACAGTAGAAAATCTAAAACAATAATTAAAGCATAACTAAAATGTAAAAGTTAATAAAATCTAAAGAAGATAAATAAAAGAAAAGGAGGATAAGATAAAAAAAGGAAACTAAAATGAATTAAAATGACTGAAATAATAAAAATAAAATAATAATAATAATAATAATAATAATAATAATAATACAATGATAACTGAAAAATGACAAATGCCACTCAAAAACACGTTGTGATTATTTTTAGTTATCTGATTTTTTGTTCTCTATAATTATAGATAAATTGGTTATGAATATCTACATAAAATACACATTGTAGATCATGTCAATATTACATTATTGGTAACACTTTACTTGAAGGGTGTCTACATAACACATTAATAACATCTTACATAAACACTTCATAACATTTTATTGAATGTTTAATAGAACATGTATAAAGCATACATGCTTTACATTGCACTAATATGGACTACTTTGTCATTTTTTTGAGATACATTTTTCAAAATATTTTTTTTTTTATTTTGAAAAACTGAACTATTTTTAGTAAACATGTCACTTTATTACATTACAATACTCATAAATATGCTTAGGAATAACCATTTGACTGAAACTTAGTGTGGTGGTGTGCCTAAGTGTCAAAGCACTTAATGACCAAAGGGGTAAAGCAAGGTCATTTTTATTTTTGCTGCCCAAAAATGAGGCACTTTACTGAAAATAATGTCGTTTTTCAAAACAAAAATTAGAACTTTTATTTTGAAGAAAAAAAAATTTCTCAGTAAAATGACATAGTAGTCCATATTAATATCATGTAAAACATGTATGATTTACGAATGTAGATTTAAACATTCATGAACATGTTACGAAGCGTTTATGTAAGACGTTATGAACGTGTTATATTATCAACTTTTTTGTAAACAAAGGCTAATTCCAAAAATGGTGCCTGCAATACATTTCAGAACAAAGTCTCTCAACACACAAATGTGAGGAATTTCATAACGTTATTAACTCTTAACCCTTAGAACCCTAAAATTTTTTTGTTTTTTTTGGTCAATTACAATTACAATTATAAAGTATTTACATGAGACAGTCACACATGCTGTGTGTTGTTCTTTTCAGGAGACCCTGGGCTACTCAGATGTGCCATTATTTGACATGTAAATGCCAACAGAAAATGTTATTTTTATCAATTTTTGATCAAAAATGTAACCATCGCCTGCAATTATTTATTTAGTTATTTTTTTGGCTATAGAGTAGCGAAACAAAAGAAACAGCTCTCTATCTGACCAATTTGAACAGCTTCTGAATTTTCTCTTCCACCTTAAATGGTACAGCAGTCAGGCGCCGGAACGTAACTGCTGGACCATTTAAGGTGGAACGGAAAATTCTAATAAGAAGCTGTTGAAAAAAAAATCAACTTCAGCTTCATATATTCACCATTATTTTGCTGTGTGTTCTGTAAACTTTGTTCAGCTCGGCGGTTTTGGTTTCTGTTGTCGTCTAAATTCAATTCAAACTAGCGGTTGTTTTTAGTTGGCTGAGCTAGTTCTTATCTTTATCCTGTGCGCCCAATGATCCCAAAAATCATCAAAAATTTTCTTCAAATATAGAGTTTTTTTATTAAGTTCAGTAGTACTTATATTATAGTAAAATTATTAAATTAATAATATAGTATTATATTAAATTAATAATAAAAAATGTATATACAGCCACACACTGCTAACACACTGTCATTAAAAGGCTACAGTACTGTCACCTTTATTCAGTATTATGGCCTTAAATGAGCTGAAGAATGCAGACTGACTTGTTTAGGACTCAAAGATTAGGACTATTGACTTGGGATTCGACTCCAGACTTGCCTGTACTGACTCGGGACTTGAATCAAGACTCGACTATCTTGACTTGGGACTTCACTCAGGACTTGAGTGTGAAGATGTGACTTACTTGTTGCTTGCAACTTAGTGACTTGTTCCCACCTCTGCTTTATGTAACCCTTATACAACTGGCCTACTTATGTTTAAGGTCCAACAGTTCACTTATAGGCCTCTGCTTAGAGTTCTCTGGTACTTTCCTATGTATACCTCTTAATATAAGAGAATGATGTTCTCTTTAACCATATATTGGGAACATTTTCCATTTATTCCATCAGCATTAAACACAGGCATGCTTCAGTAATGAGCGTAACCACACGGGCCCGGGAATACTTCGGAAAACACTTTCCGCTGCATATACAAAGGCAAGTTAAGGCTTTACTACACAAAGCAGAGGCTGCATATCAACAACATCCAGAAAACGTGTCATTCTACCAGGAGTGAGCACGAACACATACATTTTGGCACACTTTATAATTATTAATTAATACTTTTAATTTTAGAACCAGAGGACCACCGACAAACATCATGCAGGAAATGCATTTTCAGTTCAGCATATCACACAAGCACATTTCCAAAGTAGGCTGTGTTTTACTGCACTGTGTGGCTGATAAATCCCAAAGTGTTTGTCAATGCAAATGAAACCAAACAGTGACTGTACATTATGCCACTTTGAATTTGAATTCAAAGTAACAAAGCCGTCTTTGGGTGAAAAGGTTTAAAAACCTCAGCAGGACAGCGAGTGGACACTCGGACGCCACCTAAAGAACCCGAAGATTAAGACATTTGAAGACGCTCCACTGACATTCGGAAATGGCAGCTTCTAACAAGGCTGTTAAGTATCTCAACCAAGACTACGAAGCACTGAAGGCTCAGTGCCTGAGCAAGAAAGCGTTATTCTCAGATCCAACGTTTCCAGCTGCGCCCGAGTCTTTGGGCTTCAACTTGCTTGGCCCAAATTCTGACGAGGCCAAAGGAGTGGTGTGGAAAAGGCCCAAGGTGAGTCCACAATTTGTGGACAGCATTTGTCCTTTTTGGGCTTTCTTATACAACCTGCTTGCTTAGATTACCAGTGATGGCAGGTTTCTCTGAGTGTTCTGATTGTGAATCTTGTTGCTATTTTTAACCCTTTGTTTATAATATGAAGGCTAAAAGCAGTAAAATAACAGCAGTGAGTGGGGTTTGGGTGATTTTGGAGCTGGATTGCTGGCTGATGGATGGTCAAAGGTGGATGAAATCACTCTGAATTGTGAGGACAGGTTCTTCTGAGTGTTCTGATGTGTGAATCATGTCGCTATTTTAACACTTTGTTGGAATATGAAGGCCAAAAAACAGAGCAATAATATCAAGATTTTCGGTGATTTTCCGAGCCGAATTACTCACTGATGCTGACGTCGCAGCTCACTGATGTCACGTTAGCTAGCTAGTAACTACTTTGGGGTGCTGAATGTCCTGATATGTGTATTATGTCTGTAGCTTAAACCGTTCTAAAGTTATGAAGTCTAGAAATCAACTATGAATTTTACGTGGTTTTGGATTCTAAGGGTTAATATCTCTGAAAGCTACATTACAGAAAGATATTACAAAAAATACTTGAGAATACTCTGCTTGATGTCTCATATATTTTATGATACTCTTGTTATAATGTAAAATAAAACTTTTTCAGATTTTTCAGATTCAGCACTATTTTACCATCATCAACATTACATATAAAAACTCAGAGGTTCTCTGGTTATTTTGGATGGTAAATAAAATGACTGTATTTGTGTTGTAGACGTCATGATCACTGTAAAGAAATAAGTAAGACAGTAAGTTTCTATACAATGAACGATTTCACATCAAACCACTGGACTATTTGCTGATGCATTTGTTGGCAGAGTGACGAGCCTCGACACATCCTTGCCCATAAAGACTGGGCCTTTCCTGGATGCTCCTTCTGTATCCAAGCATGATTACATCACTTGTTTTAAAATGCTAGCTGAGCATGGAACAACATTCCTAATCTTACGTTGCTCCTGTCCCGACTTTTTTGGAACTTGCTGCAGGCATCAGTTTTAGAATGAGCATATATTTACAAAAAACAATGAAGCTGAACATTAAATATCTTGTCTTTGCACTGCTGTATTTAAAATACAGGCCAAAGTGGATTCTTATCTGCATTTCACATACACTCTCAACTTTTTTGGAACTGGGTTTGTATATCTCAACCACTGAATTGTAGAACTTTAGAATAATAGGGCAGTTAAAGAGCGCTAAATGCTCCTGCTGATGTGTATGATGTTGAGTTGTGTGTCTGTGTGGTGCGTTTCAGGAAATCATTCAAAACCCTAAGTTCATTGTCGGCGGAGCTACAAAGGCTGACATTAACCAAGGGGCTTTAGGTGAGTTTGGGGTGACTTTGTTCTCAACATGAATCTCTCATCTACTTGCAAAGAACAAAGCTCAGCAGTTTGATTACACAAACCACTTATTGTGTATGCAAGCAGTATGTAGTAGGCTACTTCCAACACAGCCAGCTTAGCCTGTTCCCTTTTCAACCCTCCCTCAAAGAGGTCTGGTGACTTTTGTTCTCAAAAAATTAAAAATAAATCTATTTTTTATGTTATATTAATTTTGCTCACCAGGAATGATGGTAATGAGGAAATTATATGTACCTTTATCCCTGCAGGTGATTGCTGGCTGATGGCAGCTATCGCCTCTCTGACTCTGGACCCAGACATTCTGGCACGAGTGATTCATCCTAAACAGAACTTTGAGGAAAACTATGCTGGCATCTTTCATTTCCAGGTAGAACATTTTTTCATTTGTAATGCATGTTTTTTTTTTTTGCTTTTTTAAACTGCCCACATCACACATACACACATTATGTAAGCTGCTTATCCCTCTGGGTCACGGGGTCGCTGGAGCCTATCCCAGCGGTTATTGGGCAGAAGGCAGGAAACACCGTGGACAGGTTGGCAGACCATCACAGGGCAGGCACATAGACATTCACACATAGGGGCAATAAAGCATGTCCAATTGGCCTAACTGCATGTCTTTAGACTGTGGGAGGAAAACAGAGCACCCAGAGGAAACATGCAGACACGAGGAGACCTGGTTGCCCGGCCGGGGAACTGAACCCTTCTTGCTGTGAGGGGACAATGCTACCCACTGTGCAACTGTGCTGCCCTCAGGGCCCATATCACACAAAAACACATCAGATACTGGGGTCTGCTGGGCTAAACTCTCGAAACTTGGTCTAGACATGGAGTCACGCTGCTGATGCTTCATTAAATCTTCCTCTCCACAGCTGTGGCAGTATGGACAGTGGGTGGACGTTGTCATTGATGACTTACTGCCCACCAGAAATGGAAAGCTGGTGTTTGTTCACTCACTTGACAAAAATGAATTCTGGAGCGCACTGCTGGAGAAGGCCTATGCAAAGTGAGTGCATGTTACCATTTGATGTCCTAATTTCATAGCTCAAACCTTTAGACCCCTGGTGTAACCCCTTATGGACCACAGTTAGCTCCATTACTGTTGGCATCCTTGGGAAAAATTGGTAAAATCCACTTTTTTAAAGTCCACTTGAGTGTTCAAGAGCTCTTACATGGTCATCAATTACTTCCTGTTTCACTGGAGCATAAATATAAGATGACATAGAGGCCAAATTCTTCAGTCCTCATAAATTAGGCAATGGCTATAAAAAAATAGCTACATGCCTGAAAATGCTCATATCCACTGTAAAGGCAATAATTAAGAAGGTTAAAACAACCAGAGCTGTAGTGAACCTTATTTTAGGTGGATCATCACGGACTCCATTAAGTATCAGGAGATGAAAATGTGTCTACCTCTGATAAAACACTGAAACTGGGTAATGGTTTGATCATTTGGCAGGACAATGATCCCAAACATGTGTCCAAATTTACACAAAAATGCTTCAATAATTTGGGAAAAGCATGTCTAATATTGTTACTGTGATTTAAATCATGGTTATTTTGTATAAATTAGAAGCAGAATCTTTTACTCACCAAGTCGCAGATGTACAAGGAATGTCTCCAGAAAACTTTGAGAATTTTGCAGTAAAGGAATTAAATGCAGTGGTGGTAATAATTGTGGTTTTGTTTAAAAATTGGAAAGAGTTTATGTTTTCTAAATATATTTAAATTCCTAAAGTCAAAAGCTTACATTTTTCTCATATGTTCAGTGTGAGCTATTTAACCACAAAGACATTTTAACATGACTTTTTTTTACCCAAGGGTGCCAATAATTATAGAGCTCACTGTTCATACTTTATTTAGTAGTTTTATTATAGTTACTGAGTAATTCATAGATGTTAAGAGGTCAAATATATCACACGACATTGAGCTTCAGTTGAGTTGCAGGATGCTATACATTATGCAACTCAATTGCAATTTGGTTGCAGGTAGGTTTCAAGCAACTGAAGTTGCATTAAGGTTTCATTGTGTAAAGCCAGCATGAGGCTTATTTGCAGGCATATGACTGGATGCAAATGCATTGCAATAGAAATCCCAGGAAATGTTGTCCTGAATTTCTTATTAGAGTACTTGTATTGTTGCAATATTAAATTCTGCTATTCTTGTGGGTCAGCTCCTGATGGAGCTGTAAAGCAGTGTGACTGAGATGTTGTCTCTCATTGCTCTTCAGGGTAAATGGCAGTTATGAGGCTCTGAAAGGAGGAAGTGCTACTGAAGGCTTTGAGGACTTCACTGGAGGCATCGCAGAGCGCTACGAGCTCAACAAAGCTCCTTCCAACCTGTTTAATATCATAAAGAAAGCACTGAGCCGGGGTTCATTGCTGAGCACGTCCATATCTGTAAGTAAGCGGTAACTGATAAGCAGGTTTAATATCAGTCCCACGCAAGTTCTGTTGACATATGAAAGTATAAAATATAAAAATGTTCTCGCATCCCAAACAAAAAGCTCTAACGCTCCAATGTATTGCATTTTCGAGCAGGCCAGCGCAAACGAAACAGAGGCTGTAACCAAGGAGCAGCTGGTCAAGACACATGCTTACTCCATCACAGCGGCCGTAGAGGTCAGACACAAACTCATCTTGCGCACTGTGTATATTTGCTCATGTGCACATGCATGATCATAAACCCTGGTCTTATCTTGGGATGTGCATTTTTTTTATGTATATTTCATAAGTATATGAAGAGATCGTATATATGATTAACTGCAGGGAGCGACAAACAACGTCACAAAAGCCGAAAGTAAAGCAGCGTTGTAGGCTAACTTGTTTAGGTAAGATATTGCTCCTACAGTTTAACAAGTCATTTTAAATGGACTTTAATAATAGTAGTTTTTAAAAGACTCCTCTTATGTACAGTGTGGCCGTGGCTGACAACAGCTGGAAAATAACGCCATCATGACTTGTGTGAAAGTAGTGTCTCTTTTAATAGCAGTGAGCGCTACAGTTGGTGTCAGAAGTGGGATTTTATTTTCCAGCTGTCGCCAGCCACCGTTTTCTTTTTTTTCTCTAACAGTTCGCACTCTAACCAGCTCATGTCTCTCACTCTCTCTCTCTTTGTTCACACATACACACATACATATATACACACATCTCCAGGGTGGTTCCTAGCCCCACCCTCTACAATAAGAGTCCATAGCAAAATGAATCAAGTGCAATAAATACTAGAGAACATATAACCAAAAACTAACATGCCAAAACATTTCTTGAACACACTACAATATTATTGTACTTTAGGCCGCTGGTTTGTTTGGGGTGTTTTTCTGTAATTGCCTCTTTCATGATATCAATTCAGCATAACAGTATTAGCTTACATGTAGCAATATTCATATTTCACCTTCACAACGACCTTGTAATTCAGATGTTCAGTGGCAAAATGCATATGGGATAAAACATACAGAGTTAGAACCAGACTTCTATAGTCTGTTGGCCTTGCTGTCTCTGGGTAGCATCTCTCCATCACTCAACATGATGCTAGCCAATACGGGCATCTGTTGGCTGATGTAACAGAATTAGCATTCTCCTACGAACATGTTGAGTTGTCCAATGACATTGTGCTAGCGGCAGTTTGATGTGTTGGTGCTTCAAGTGTCTCAGAGGAAGCACACACTAGCCTTAACCCTCCCAGCTTGGAGTGATTGGGGAGACCTAGCTAGTGGGTGGAATTGGGAAAAAAAATTAGGTAAAATTCGGTAGTAGGTTATAAGGGAGATTCTCCGTTATGAAGCAAAGGTTTATTCTGCTATCAGCCAGTCACAGAATTGGTTTCTTCCATGTGTAAAATATCATCACAGCTAAAACACACCAGTACGGCGAGTTTTGAAGTCGACTTACATTTCATGCAAAGATTCCATCATTTTATGCTGAAAAGAATAAAAGGAACTTTCAGTATTTGGTTCATTAAACATTTACTCTTGCTACACATTATGTAGTTTTGCATGTTTCCTTTTAAAGTATTACTGTGGGTGTAAAATAGCATTGAGGCCTAGTGACTTTTTCAAAAGAGGATTTCACAAACAACTGGCAAGATTTAAATATTGTATTCTTAAATAATAATAACAACTGAGTGACTCCTGTTGCTTAATCGATGGGTTACCGAATGATGATGTTCTCACTGATATGACACACAAATGTGCAACTGGTCTTTGGGTGATATTTCACTGCGGTAGGTTCATGTGGGTGGACGTCTGGTGCAGCTGGTGCGCCTCAGGAACCCCTGGGGACACAAAGAGTGGAACGGCGCTTGGAGCGACAAGTAAGTCTTTCAATTAGCCGTGGATCACACTAATACCGAGTGATCAACTTGGGTAAGATCCTTGTATTATCTTCCTTAGTTCCAAGGAGTGGGACCATGTTCTGCCGCAGGAAAAGAACAAACTCAATTATTCGGCAGATGACGGTGAGTTCTGGTGAGTCTCACTGACTGAGATCCTGCTTCTTCTTAGTACAAAAAAAGCAACTTTAAATCTTTCAGGTGCTCTCTTTGCCCATGACTCTCGTTCTCTTTGCTTTTCTGTTTATCCCTCTTTCAGGATGGCATATTCAGACTTTGTGCAGCGGTACTCAAAGGTGGAGATCTGTAACCTGACTCCAGACCTTCCAAGCAGTGATCATGTTGGTCAGTGGGCCCTTCAGCAGTTTGAGGGCAACTGGAAGAGTGGCTCAACTGCAGGTGGCTCCATTAAAAACACAGGTATGCTTCAAATACCAATCACCTTATATTCTTGTCTCTTTACAGTCTAATTACACTGAAAAAGGCTAGCCCGTTTAGCTGAATGGCTTAAGGATGCAGGAAAATGAACCGAAGAGGCCCTAACTGCAGGGTTGCAGTACTGCATTCTCAGACCCGGGCTGTCACATCCACAATCTCAGCTCCGGATATGATGTTACATAGTGGTTGAAAGTAGAGTTGCACCGATATTGATACCATATCAGTATCGGCACCAATACTGACACTTAAATGGAGAATCGTATTGGAGATGGGGATACCTATGACCGATACCACAAAGCAATTTCTGACACGCATGCACACAGCTAGTTGATGAAACTGACCAACACATCAGTGGTGTGTAATGACAAGCAGCAGCAAAAATACTCATGACAAAATCTGTAATGTCAATTTTCCTGGAAAAGGCAACAGCAATGGGTGATATCAGTTGGAACTCTTCTTAAGCTTTTGGTTTCACTGATATCTCAGGAACACACCACATAACGCAACACACAAACAGTGTAAAACATGCTAACGGGAGTCTCTTACCTCAATGAAGTCTTCTTTCAGTCATCACTCATTTCCCACTGTGTGATCAGTCGCAGTCTGAGTTAATGTTAGTCCAGGTTGTTACTGACAGAGTGAACATTAGAAAGACATATTGAAGGAACTGCCGGTCTCTTGAAGTAATGATAGCCTTTAGCCTTGGTTTGAGACAAATGACTTGAGAAATTTACACGTACAGACAACCGCATAGAGTCAGTACTGGCATCGGTACTCAGTATTGGCCGATACTCATGGATCAGGTATCATATTGGAAGAGAAAAAATTATGTTAGTGGGTCTCTAGTTGAGAGGCTAAGTAGCTACCATACCTTGCGTTTTACGACATGGAGGACAAAGAAGGCAGTGTGGAATGTCTATAGAACCTCTCAAACACTATGTGATCAGGAAATAAAACAATAAATAAAAAAGTGTGTGGTGTGATTAAGCGTTGGCTGGAAGACTGAGAGTCAGGCCATGTGAACGAGCGGCTAATCAGTAATGATTTACACCTGTGCATGTGTAAGGGCATCCCTCCGTACCAAAGTATACCTTACTACTGAAAGAACCAAACATATTATGATAAATACAAACAGTTTCTCTGTTAAAAAATGGTTTCTTTGATCTAATAAGAGTAACTTAGCAGAGGTTCAATCCACCATTTACTGTCATACTCAAGAGAGCCGAAAGTGTGCCTGCACTTCCTGCACAGGCGCAGGGTGCAGGTCTGAAAGTGTGGGGTCTATAGTGCTGCGGCTCTGCAGTTGAATACTGCTGCGCTCACCTCCTGCTTTGTGCAGTCAGTTGTAGTTTGAGCTAAAGTTAGTTCAGTTGGGAAGGAACGGCTGATCTCTTGGGGTTAACCTGCAAGTTGCCCTGCGCTGTGTGTTGTGACACATTCCATAAGCATTCTTAAACATTTCTGTGACTTTGGACCAGGCAGAATAGCCTTTGCTGCTCTTGTGTAGTGATGAGCCTTGGGTGCCCAACACTCTGTTGCTAGTTTTCTTGCCTACCTTGGTGGTGAAAAATTGAAGACTGTAGTGTGTCCATTGCCATACTGGTTTGTGTTAGCCATCCTCATCAATGGTAGGATTCTGCCAACAAAGCCACCGCTGTGTTTGATACCAGCGCCACCAAAATACACATCTGCTCAACAGCAGCCGAGCATTGAGGAACAGGGTAGAAGTTGGTTCACAAATTTTGCAGTCTTTAATTGGACACGACTAGACAGATAGAGTTGCTGTCAATAAGGTACTCAGTGTGAGTAGAAAGAACAGTAGGTGTTTCTATTAAAGTGGTGTGTATATCTGTTTTCTGCAGCTACATTCAGCTCCAACCCCCAGTTTGTGATAAATCTGGATCACAAGAGCCAGGGTGGTACGCATACCTGCTCTGTACTTGTGGGTCTGATGCAGAAAGACATGCGCAAAGAGAGAAAGCTCGGACATGACTTCAACAACATTTGCTTTGCTGTCTATCCGGTAAGACATCACGCTATTCCTACAAGGCCATATGTGTGTAATATCTCAATCAACACGTGATAGGAATGCCTAACAACAGGATCAGTATTCTTTTGTGTGTGTTTGTTCCAAAAGAGGTATGTATGACTGAATAGATGGATTTATGTTAGTGCATTGGTTTAGATATACTGACAGTTTTATTTGCCAATAAACTATTTTTTGCAGTGCACCAGCTACTCTTACTGCCACTACTTTACTACTCAAAGCAAGTCAAAGCAACTTAACTATCACACTTGGAAAGCGCTTGCTGGTTTTGAGTTTGTTTTTGGTACTTGTAGGGCTGGGCGATAAAACGATAACGATAAGTATCGCAATATAACTTTTCCTCGATAGAGCGATACGACAGGTTCGATAAATGTTCGATATAATACACCACTCTCACACTTCGACGTTCAGCGAAAGCCTTGGTGGCGTTTTCTACTGCAAGGAAAGCGACACTACTCTGCTGTCGCCAGGAGAGGGCGCACTTCCGAGTTTTTCGACTTGATTAGAGAGGGAGGGGGCCACGAGTAAAAAACGGTCGCCAAATATACTTTAGCAACGTCTGAAACGTGGAGTTATACATTCCCTGTTTGAGTGGAGCGACCGGCGATCTGTTCTCCTGTGACCGAATAAAAAAGAATAAAAAAAGACTTCAGTCGCTGAGTTCTTGTGGAGGGAAGGAAAAGGCCTTCTCTTTATTGAGCTTTAAGCGGCAAGATGGTTCCCAGACAACCACAATGCAAATATCATCACGAGGCATCCCTTGTTATTGCTCTTTGGGGTGATGACGTAATCATCCCACCCCTTTTTACACAATTCCATACCACCTTAGTCCCCACTGTATCCAAACCCTGCACCTTTTTTGGTTACCCTTAAAACCAAGCTTAAAACCAGCTTCTTCACCCAAGTTCAGGAGTTCACTTCAGCTATAATTTGTACCGTCATCTAACACAATTCCCCTTTTATTAGTTTTCACTTCAGCTATAGTTTATACTGTCATCCAACAAATCCCTTCCTTTCAGCCCTAATTTGTAGCTACAATTTGTGAGTTCAAGAGTTCATTGAGTTCATTCTCTTTAGAGGTGATATTCCAAAGGTATGCAGTCTACAGCCTGCTCTCCAATGTTACTTTGTTTAGGAGATCTCCAAATACTCAAGTTAGCCAGTATGTAGTTTATCGATTATTAATCAGGAATATTTCATTAAATCTTTCCGTCAAAACTTACACATTTGCTTAAACTAGACACCTGGCATCTTTTCTTTGCTGCCAGTTCATTATTATTTGGGCTCAGTTTCTGAGCTGCTGAGCTAACGTTAAGTGTTTATGTTGGCTGAACTGCAGTTAGTTGTTTGGTGATATGACTGGTGTGGAACTGTGTAGAATTGAGGTGTAACCGCTGTCCTATACATTGTTGTTGGGATGGGAGAGTCAGAGCACACATTACGTTGCAGTGTATGCTGGGGACTGTAGTGCAGCGCATTGTGAAACGGGCCAATATTAATAGAAAATTAAAATATAGGATAGGATTTTGTCGCGGGCCTCTGCGTTCTTCTTCAGTTTGGTAGCTTTTAGTTGGTACTTCGTTATGAATCTTTGCTAGTTTTGCTAGTTGTACTCAGTTGGATGGTGTATTTATTTCTAGACCTTTTTTTAGTTGTTTTGAGTGATTTTGTTAAGTAAAATTGTCTCACTATTTTGGCAGATAATTTTGCGTATTTTAAGAAATATGCTTGAAATATGTTGAATTATCTGCCAATAAGCTGAGATCATTTAACTCAATAAAATTACTTTAAACAAGTAAAAATATCTAGAAATTGGTTGAATAATCTTATAATATTTGTACAACCATCCCAAATGACCCACACATAGACATTTAGACTAGATTTAAGATGATTTCTCTTGTTAAGGTGTCATTTTTTGCAGTGTACAATTCACTTGCATTTATCCCTCCTCCATGAATGGATTTTTTAAATAGATTTTTGGCCAAAATTTTCATAAATTAATGTTTCAGACATCAGACAGCATATTCATAACCATCACACGCTATAACTTTCTTTGAGTTAGCTTTTAGAGGCATTTTTTTGGGGTCTTCGGACCACTGTGAACAATACTTGGTTTCTCTAGAATGAAGCATCATTCCGATCGATGTTGTTTATACCTTAATAATTTAATAATGCAGAAATGATATGTTGAGTTGAATGTTTGTGTATATTTCAGCACAAAGGTGGCCACTTGAGCCGTGAGGTGCTGTCTTCTATGAAAGCTGCCTTCACATCCGAACACTCTGCAAAGCGTGAAGTGAGCCAGCGCTTCGCTCTGCCACCTGGACAGTACGTCATCATTCCTTCCACCTATGAGCCGAACCATGAGGGCAGCTTCTTGTTGAGGGTGTTCAGTGAGAAATAGACCCCCTGCAGAACCCAGGTGCCACTAGTGGGGGGGATCTGCAACTACATTACAGCTGCAAAATACTTAACTAAATAAAGCTGTACTTAAAGGTTTGTTCCAGTCTATTGGATTTCAGCCTTAAATCAGTGACATATACTCCCAAAACACAACTGTCTTATTTCAGAGATACTATAATAAACAAATAAATCAAATGGTTCTAGTGTTTTCTTTTTTTCCTGAAATATATTTGTGGCATTTGGCAGATACCCTTATCGAGAGCGACATAAGCAGGCGGAGGTAGTGTTAGGAGTCTTGCCCAAGGACTCTTATTGGTATAGAGTAGGGTGCTTGCCCAGGTGGGGGGTTGAACCCCAGTCTACAGTGTAGAAGGCAGAGGTGTGACCCACTACACTACGCTGACCATAGACATACAGTACTGTGCAAAAGTCACACAAAAGAGTCCAGAGGAAACATATATTTAAAACCTATTGCACACAAGTACAAAGTATAAAACTCAGTATAAAACTAACAATATTCAATTTGTCCACTCTTTCATTTTGTGCACTCTGCTGCCACTTTAACTCTTCCATCTCCATCTTAAAACCAAGTTACAGCTGTGTTCTCCCAATGAAAGCCGTTCCCAAAGGAGTCACTGACAATATGTTCCCATTCAAAGTGACCTCATTAACACAAGCAGCTACCCAAACTCACTTTTAGTTACCATCAGATTCTTTCTAATGCATCTAAAATGGCTAAAATACATATTTATGCGAAGATCAGATACAAGATAATACACTTCCATAAGGAAGGAGTTTCCAAAACTCAAAAAATAGAAGAGAAAATGGAACTCCCTAACAACCACCCGCAAGATCTGGTAGACCACTAAAACTGTCCCCCTGAGATAAACAGCACTCACATCTGAAAACATCCACATCCACCCCTCCACCGTGAGAGGACAACCCAACACTATGGGTATTCAATCAAAGAAGCTGCTGGTGTTCTCCGAAAAATGAACTGACCACCCCAGAGTCCAGCGTGTTTCTGTAGTTAATTTAGTCGGTGGCATTTATATAACTGAACCACAGCATGACTCGCTGAACACAGATTGTCAAACCCTGTCAGGTCCTCATAAATCAAAGATTTTCCCAAACAGCTGTACAGAATGCCAGGCTGGTGTCCATCTTCATGAACAGACGCAATAGACAGCAATGAAACAGAGACAGATATAACTACACATCCAAATGTGAGTAGCTCTAATGAATTCTAATGAGCTTCAGTTTAAGTTTGCACTTCAGCAACCTGTGGTCCCATAGGGCGTTTTCACTCTTCAAGTGGTCTCAGGCTGCTGAGTCATGGGTTTCTGTGTATATGTGAACACGTCAAATGGTCCCAAATTTGATCCAAATTCAGACCATGTCACAAGGTGGCATCAGAAAGATTTGCTTTGTGGTCAAAATAATTTGTGCACAATTTGATTTAGGACATCTCACGCCTGCTTTGCATTTTGCTTTACGGTTTAAGAACTTTGTGGTTTACCGTACATAGAAACCACTATCTTCCAGTACATAGTGGGTAGGAATGATTTCCAGTGGGTTTCTGTGGCAAGAAACAGCAGTGCTAGTGTAATAAAAGCTAAAAGTCATGAGAGTCTATTCGCTTTTTATATTTGGGGTGGGTGTTGCACTGCAACATACAATTCTGGCAACCCACAGATGCAGTATTTAATGTTTATAGGCCAATCTAACTAACATTCCATTGCAGAAAAGTTGGTTTCATTTTCACATATTTTTTTCTTCAGCAGCTCTTCAAAGGTGGACAAAAAGAGGTTAGAGTGTAAAATATCACTATTAGCATCCAAAGGAGCTTTCATTTACTTTTCACCTGACACTGATGTATAACATGTTGATTTCTCTGGATTATAGCAACCGCTAAGAAAGTTTAATGGCCGTCTGCAAATTACATTGCAAGTGGCGATAATGGAGGTCCAAGCATCTGTGCCTTAAGGTCACCACACACCATATGAGGCGCATCCAAAAAATTCAGTGAAGGTGGGCACACTGCCCTGACATTCTGCGTTGACGGGCAGCAGTGCTCAGTAACTCCCAGTACTGTTCAATTACTCAGTCTTTACACACCAGCATGTTGTCATTCTGTTAAACTAAGGCCACATCGACATCACAATAGATCACATGTGGCTTAAAGTGTACACAGAGAAATGTGGTCAGTCTTTTAGATAAACAGACAATGCTATTGGTCTGTTACCTTAGCTATTGTTACTATCCTAGGCTTTTTTTCACCGCAAGAGGACCAAAAAGAGAATCAAGTTCCTTTTAAGGCTGTTTACACAGCAAACACAAAAACACTGAGATTATTTGCAGTTAGTTCACTTCAGCAGAACTGAGTCTGGTTCATTTAAAAAGAATTATATGTGTAAACACCCATAGACACATATTTCTTGCTGCTGTCATCTCACAGCATTACACATTAGGGTTTTCAGCTCTGCCCTGTAAAACGTGGCTCATCAGATCTACTTAAAAAATACTTCATGTGGTAACAAGTGAATTAACTAGAGTTATAAAACCTAAATAAATACTTAAATGAATGACTCAGTCAATGTAGTTTTCTAAGTTGAATAAAACTAGTTCAATTGCTTGTTACTACTTGAATAGATCTGATGAGCCACTTTTTACAGTGTAACACACACATTAAATGAATAAATTACTCAAATAAAACTACATTGCTGACACTTTGTATTTACTGTACCCGAAATTGAAAGTATCCAGGCAGGGTTTCTTGTCATCTCCTGCTTCTAAAAGCCTGCCAAACTCGTTCATGACAGACAAACCCCGCCTGAAAAAGTGCTCTGGAGGGGCGGAGAGGCTCTTAAGTTGCCTTACCCCTGGAACTCAAAATTCCCACACTGTTTCAACACCATTAAAGAGAAGAAAATGTCAGGAGCGGCCTCCACTTTGGCCAAGAGGCATGCCATCAAGTACTTGGACCAAGATTTCGAAGCTCTGAGGAGGCAATGTCTGAGCAGTGGACAACTCTTTTCTGACCCCGAATTCCCAGCTGCCCCCAAGTCCCTGGGATTTGAGGAACTTGGACCAAACTCTCCCAAAGCCAGAGGAGTGCAATGGAAAAGACCAGGAGTAAGTGCTGCTAAAGGCTAACTTCTTCAGCTTAAGAAGTTTACCCTGTCTTTAACTTCAGGACCTGTGGAGGAAAGCAGGTGTACTAACTGTTATATATATATATATATATATATATATATATATATATATATATATATATATATATATATATATCTTCACTTAGAATCTCGTAGATAACTGTGATTTGTGGTTTATGAATTGATAGTCTCCATGACAAATCCCCTTCCTTGTGCTTTAACATTGTCTTATATTTAATCTCCTGATTAAAATGAATAACTTGTACTTTGGCCATTTTGACTTGAAATTAAATAAATTATGGGTGGTCTTTGACCACCACACAGTACTTCTGGCTTCAAAACGTTATTGACTGTAGTCTAGATGTCCAAAATCCGTTTTATGGCCCATCCTTATTTCAATCAAAGCAAACTGTACAAGTAGTGTAAGATCCTCCACAGCTTCCACACGGAGCAAATGCAAGGCGGCACATGTAGGAGAAGGTGTGTCCACTCAGCTGCTCGTTCTGTTCTGCAGGAGCTGTGCTCAGAACCCAAGTTCATCACTGGTGGGGCCACGAGGACCGACATCTGCCAAGGAGACCTGGGTAAGTGGAGAAATGTCAAGACATTTCTTCCTAAAACATCCAAGTTATTCTTACTGCAGTCAGACTGGCAGAATGTGAACTTATTCATGCACACACACACCTTCCTACCTAACACTGAAACAATATGCTAGCTGTAATTGTGTGTTTTTAGCTGAAACTCCCTGAACCAGTTAAACAGCCTCTCTGTTCTATGAAGCTGTAATTTGGCTGAGTAATGACGTCACCAACTCTAAAGATCAGAGAGGTAGATAAGGCACACTATTATTTCCACTGACGTTTTGGTGCATATCGGTATCAATACTGACTGCTGTTAATATTAATGAATGACGCTGACACTATTTATTGAACAGTCACTGTTACAACTGTTGTTAGTCTTCATTATTTCTCTCTTGTTAAACATACTAAACAAATGCATGAAACTGAGTGAAAATCGGCCGTTTGCTTCAATGAAACAGAGAGTTGTCAGACTTGTGTGGTAAGTGCTTGCACTGTAGACCACATGAACCCTGCATTAGATCATCACCACTGTAAGAACTGTAACTGTAAAGAAAGTCAATAAGTTTCTCTACAGTAAAATGCATAAATCCAACTTAAACCCATAACTGAAACTTCTAAATTATGCAGGTCTAACCCATAAACTAAAGCCTAAATTACACAGACCTGACTGAAACCCCTAAATTATGTGGATCTAACTTAAACCCATAACTTAAACCCCTAAATTACATAGACTTAATATAAACCCATAACATAAACCCCTAAAATGATGTAAATCTGACTTACATAACTTACCTACTTAAGCTTACTTATTACTGACTTACTTAAACCCCTAGATTACGTAGATCTAACTTAAACCCCTAAATTATGTAGACCTAACTTAAACCCATAACTTACACCCATAAATTACAGAAATCTTAGAAGTCTTAAACCCCAAATTACATAAATCTACCTTAAATCAATAATTTAAACCCCCCAAAAAAAACCAATAACCTAAACCCATAACATTAACCCCTAAATTGTGTAGATCAAACTTAAACTCATACCGAAAACCCCAAAATGACTTAAACTTTGAACGTAAACCCATACCACAAACCCTAAAATTACATATATGTAGCTTAAACCCAAAACCTAAACCCATAAATTACACAATTCTAACTTAAGCCCCCCTAATTAACATAGAACTAACTTAAACTCATAACTTAAACCCCTAAATCACATAAATCTAACTTAAACCCAAAATTTAAACCCCTAAATTTAAATTAAAACCATAGATCTTACTACAACCCATATCATCACCTCTAACTGACATAGATCTAACCTAAACCCATAACATAAACCCCCAAATTACATAGATCTAACTTAAACCCATACCGTAAAGCCCTAAATTACATAGATTGAACTTAAACCCATAACTTAAACCCCTAAATTACATAAATCTAACTTAAACTAGATCTGACTTACATTCATAACCTAAAAACCCCTTGATTACATAGATTTAACTTAAACCCACAACTTAAACCCCCTAAACTCTAAGGAACTCTTTTTTGGAGAAATCTAGCCATTTACGTTCACATACATTAGTTACATGTCTGTGCGAACACTTAGCCTACAAGTCAATTTCAGATATTAATACAGAAAATATACACACACAAAAAATAAAGTAAATAAATTTAAAAAACTAGGATGCTACCACGGCATTTTAGGGTCACTGTTAATAAAAATAAAAATAGTAGACTTTGAGAAAAAAGTCATAATGTTTCGAGAAAAAAGTCATACCATTTCCAGAAAAAAAGTCGTACTATGTTGAGAAAAAAGACGTAATATTTTGAGAAAAACGTCATGCTATTTCGAGAAAAATTCTGTCAGCTGACAATTACATTTTTGGATTACATATTCTTCATTAATATTCACATATTCAATATTTAAATCAGTGTTTGATGTGTAAATAATTAATAATATAATTATTAATTAATTAATTAATTATTAATAATAGTTTTCTTGAATAACAAGGACGAACAGACTGTATTTCCACTATTTTTGTGATAAAATATAAACTGTTCTTGGTGGTGGAGTCAGATGTTTGGACCCTAGTATGGAATCTAGCAACTAAATTACATGCAATTTCATTTAACTTACATGCTGTTGGGAAAATGATGTACTTTCATCCCTGCAGGGGACTGCTGGCTGATGGCTGCCATCGCCTCTCTGACTCTGAACCAAGACATTTTGGCACGAGTGATTCATCCTGAGCAGAGCTTCACGAAGGGCTACGCTGGAATCTTTCACTTTCAGGTCAGATTTTCCTGTCTAAGTTTTCATCAGGAGACAAAAGTTATAAAAAGGTCTAGAATGATAGAGAATAAGGCCGTCATGGTGCTGATGTTTTTGAAACTTTTCTCTCCGCAGCTGTGGCAGTATGGGCAGTGGGTGGACGTTGTAATCGATGACAAACTGCCCACCAAAGACGGAGAGCTGTTGTTCGTTCACTCGGCCGAAAGAAGTGAGTTCTGGAGCGCGCTGCTGGAGAAGGCCTATGCAAAGTGAGTGCATGTGGGATGATCCACTAAGATAGGGGTCGGCAACCTGAATGTTAATGCCCTGCGATGGACTGGCGACCTGTCCAGGGTGTATCCTGCCTTCCACCCAATGACAGCTGGGATAGGCTCCAGCACCCCACCGCGACCCACCACGACCCTTTTCTCGCATCTCCGGCAGGAAACTTTTCCCCAATCATAGTACAGTTTCTTGTAAAATGTCTCTCAACGTTTCAACTTTCTACGAGGCTGAAGTTGCTTCTCATTTGCCAGCTTCTTGTTTGAATTTTCCCGTTCCACCTTAAATGGTGCCTGAGTTGCCAGAATGTAGCTAACTATGTAGCTAACCACTGCACCATTTAAGGTGGAATGTGAAAATTCGAACAAGAAGCTGGCGAGTGAGAAGCTGACTTCAGTTTTGCAACTTTTTGTGACTGATCAGGAAACCAGCTGAGTGCTTACAAATGCAAATTAATCCACTCATCTCCAAATTTTTAACGTTCATCTTTCTCTTTGCCTGTTCGTTAGCCACTAGCTAGGTGAGATTGTCTGTGTTGCTATGGTGACCAGCAGTCTGGTGCCAACCTTCAGGGTTAAAGGGTGAATTAGCAGTTCTACATTAACTCCAGTGTTTAAGATCATTTATTGTTAAACTGTGTTGAACGATCAGCAGAGCTTTATTTTACTGTAAAGGAGGATTATTTTATTTTTACCTATAAATCTAATTCTGCTGTGGAGCCGTAACAGGGCAGTAGAAGAGCCGCATGTGGCTCCGGAGCCGTGTGTTGTTGACCCCTGCATCTTACATCTTGAAGAAATTACATCAGTTCAAATTAGCTATGTCCTCTTTTTCATGATCATGAAGCTTGGCAGATTTTGATTGGCCATAATACAGTGATGGTGCTCACAGAAAACATTTTTTCTTTCATCATCGCAGAGATGTAGCATAATAAATATTCTGTCCCATTTTAATGGGCAGGTCAGCGATACTGTGGCTGCACCCCTGTGTAGACTGTTTCATCAATATGGCTCTGTTTCTACTTCTAATCTCATGATTGGAGGAAAATACCAAGGTCTGGACGTCAGTGTCCTCTTAGCTAGTCACAGCCATGGTCAGCAGTTTAGCAGGTGTGTTTAGCAGCTCACATGGCCAATCAGATGTCTACATATTCTGTTACCTGGCTAACGTTACTATGAAACATAAGTCCATTAGGCACTAATATGGAGTTGGTCCCCCTTTGCAGCTATAACAGCTTCCACTCTTCTGGGAAGCTTTCTACAAGATTTTAGAGTGTCTGTGGGAATTTTTATCCATTTATCCAGAAGAGCATTTGTGAGGTCAGTCACTGATGTTGGACGAGAGTTCCTGGCTCGCAATCTCTGTTCTAGTTCATCCCAAAGGTGTTCGATGGGGTTGAGGTCAGAGCTCAGTGAGGGCCAGTCAAGTTCCTTCACACCAAACTCACCCAGCCAGGCCTTTATGGAGCTGCTTTGTGCACTGGGGCTCAGTCATGCTGGAACAGGAAAGGTTCTTCCCCAAACTGTTCCCACAAAGTTGGAAGCATAGAATTGTCCAAAATGTCTTGGTCTGCTGAAGCATTAAGATTTCCCTTCACTGGAACTAAGGGTTCTAGGCCAACCGCTGAAAAACAACCCTATATCATTATCCCTCCTCCACCAAACATTACAGTTGGCACAGTGCAGTCAGGCAGGTTTTCCTGGCATTCACCAAACCCAGACTCGTCCATCAGTCTGTGAGAAAGAGAAGTGTGATTCATCACTCCACAGAATACATTTCCACTGCTCCAGAGTCCAGTGGCGGCGCTTTACACCACTCTATTCGACTCTTGGCATTGTGAATTTTGATCTTAGGCTTGTGTGCAGCTGCTCGGCCATGGAAACTTATGGAAATTTATGAAGCTCCTAACATGCAGTTCTTTTGCTGATGTTGCTTCCAGAGCCAATTTGGAACTTTTTAGTGAGTGATTGAACAGAGGATAGGCACTGTGCACTTCAGCATTCGGCGGCCCCACTCTGTGAGTTTACGTAGTCTACCGCTTCATGGCTGAGCTGTTGTTGCACCTAGACGGTACCATTTCACAATAACAGCACTTACAGTTGACCGGGGCAGATCTAGCATGACAGATATTTCACAGACTGACTTGTGGCAGAGGTGGCAGCCACTGACAGAGCCATGTTTAAGGTCACTGAGCTCATCAGTGTGACCCTCTACTGCGAGTGTTTGTCTATCGAGACTGCAAGGCTATGTGCTTAATTTTATCCACCTGTTAGCAATGAGAGTGGCTGAAACACCGGAGCTCAATAATCAGGAGGCGTGTCCAATACCTTTGTCCATAGAGTGTATGTTGTACTGTAGCCCTACTAATACTCTTATTTGAAAGCTTGTATTGTTGTTATTATGAAATGCTGTTCCTATTGAGGCTTTAAAGCAGTGAGTCTCCGATTGCTCTTCAGAGTGAATGGAAGCTATGAGGCTCTGAAAGGAGGAAGTGCTACTGAAGGCTTCGAGGACTTCACTGGAGGCATTGGGGAACGTTACCAGCTCAGCAAAGCTCCTTCGAACCTGTTTAATATCATGAAGCAGTCTCTGAGCCGCGGCTCTCTGCTGAGCACAGCTATATCCGTGAGTAAGCTGTAAACATAGAGTTAATATCAGTACCAAAGCTGTCTCAGAGTTCTGTTAGGGTGACACAACTATAACAAAAATACATAAAAAGCTGTACAAAACAGAGAAAACTCTAATACTCCAATATGTTGTATTTTCAGGGCACTGCATATGAAAAAGAGTCTGTGACCGAAGAACAGCTGGTCAAGAGACACGCCTACTCCATCGTAGGGGCAGAGGAGGTCAGACACAAACATTTTACCATCATCAACATTACACTTTGTGGTAGTGGTCTGGGGAGGGGCTGACGCACACTAATTGGGAAACCTGACGAAAGCTCAGAAACAAACAACAACTCGGCCTCGACAACTACAAAGTTTTAGTCTTGATTCTGAGTTGACTACTATAAAGTCTTCACTCAGATTAAACTACTATTAAGTCTTGATCTTGACTCGGACTCAACAACTACCAAGTTTTGGTCCTAAATCGGACATGACAACTACAAAGTCTTGGTCTTGAATCAGATTTGATTACAACAAAGGCTCAGCCTTGACTTAGATTGGCAAATACAAAGTCTTGTTCTTGACTCGGACTTCACAACTACAAAGCTTCAGTCTTGGCTCGGACTAGACAACTACAAAGATTTAGTCTTGATTCAAACTCGACTTCTAAAAAGTCTCAGTCTTGACTCAAACTCAATAACTACCAAGTTTTGGTCTTGACTCAGATTCAACTACCTCAAAGTCTTAGTCTTGAAACGGACTTGATTACTACAAAGACTCTGCCTTGACTCAGACTTGACAAATACAATGTCTTGTATCAGACTCGACAACTACAAAGTTTTGGTCCTGGCTTGGACTTGATAACTACAAAGTTTTAGTCTTGATTTGGACTTGACTACATCAAAATCTTGGTCTTGACTCGGACTTAACAATTACTAAATTTTGGACTTGACAATTACAAAGTATTGGTCTTGATTTGGTCTTGACTATTACAAAGTCTCGATCATTACTTGGACTAGAATACTACAATATCCTGGTCTTGACTCAGACTGTACAACTACACAGCTTTGGTCTTGATTCAGACTCGACTTCTACAAAGTCTCAGTCTTGACTCAAACTCAACAACAACAAAGTCTTGGCCTTGACTCAGACTTGACAACTACAAAGTATTGGTCTTGACTCAGACTCCAGTAATGCAAAGTCTTGGTCTTGACTCTGATTCAACAACTACAAAGTCTTGGTCTTGACTCAGATTCAACTACCTCAAAGTCTTAGTCTTGAAACGGACTCAATTACTACAAAGACCCAGCCTTGACTCAGACTTGACTACTTCAAAATCTTGGTCTTGACTCGGACTTAACAATTACCAAATTTTGGACTTGACAATTACAAAGTATTGGTCTTGATTTGGTCTTGACTATTACAAAGACTCGATCATTACTTGGACTAGAATGCTACAATGTCCCGGTCTTGACACAGATTTAACTACAAAGTCTTGGTCTTGATTCAGACTCTATTATTAAAAAGTTTTGGTCCTGACTCAGACTTGACTACAAAGTCTTGGTCTTGACTCAGACTTGACTACAAAGTTTCGGTCTTGACTCAGACTGTACAACTACACAGCTTTGGTCTTGATTCAGACTCGAATTCTACAAAGTCTCAGTCTTGACTCAAACTCAACAATAACAAAGTCTTGGTCTTGACTCAGACTTGACAACTACAAAGTATTGGTCTTGAGTCAGACTCCACTGCTACAAAGTCTTGATCTTGACTCACATTCAACAACTACAAGGTCTCGGTCTTGACACGAATTCAACTACCTCAAAGTCTTAGTCTTGAAACAGACTCGATTACTACAAAGACTTGGCCTTGACTCAGACTTGACAAATACAGTGTCTTGACTCGGATTTGACTACTTCGAAATCTTGGTCTTGACTCGCACTAGACAATTACAAGGTTTTATTCTTGACTCAGACTCCACTACTACAAAGTCTCGCCTCTAGTGGTCTTGACTACAACACTACCCTCAACACTAGTCATTGGTTTTCATTGGTTAATCTAAATCCTTCCATCTAATGATTAGGCTGCCTTCTTCTATTTTCGTTGTTCAGATAACTTTTATTGCTTTTTGAATTATTTTTCTTGTTATCGCCGGTCAACCTTGGCACCGTGGCAACTGGCTTGTTCACTAGATGTCTGGACCCAGATTTCTCTAAAGTTACTCTGGAGCAGTATTTCCTTTAGAAAAGTAATAATATAATGATGATCTCACCGATGTGACAGTCATCACCTCATAAGCTGCTGATGTTTCTCTCTGCTGTAGGTACATGTGGGTGGACGTCTGGTGCAGCTGGTGCGCCTCAGGAACCCCTGGGGTCACAAGGAGTGGAAAGGGGCTTGGAGTGATAAGTAAGTCTCTTGGCAAACTACAGATTTTACTGAATGATATGTATTGCAATGTTAGGGTGTATGAAGTTGCAGAGTAGGGCCCACTAGTGCTGTAGTACTCAAGTGTAATCAGACTTGAGTGCGAACTCCAGGCACTTTGTTCAGTTGTACTGGACTCTGTCTTGGACTCGACTGTATTGGTACTTGGAACTGTCTTGGCCTCTGCCTCAGAGTGTAAATAGTTATGTAATCAAACTGTAAAGCAACATGAAAATGAGAACTATAGAATTTTAAGAGTTAACTCTGTTGTCCAGGGGTAAAAGACAGAGAAATTTGGACTGGAAGCAGCTAAAGACCGGTTTGGTTCTCGGGCTTGACTTGGTCTTGACCCCTCACGCTCTTGCGACTAGTCTTGGACTTGACCTGTAACTTGAGCCTTTAACTTTCCCTGTGTTTCTACAAAGAACTTAAGAGCATAGCCTATGTTGTTGTGGTGGAGTACATGCTTTTGCGGAAATCCACCCAAAAGACAACCAGTTCACCGCTAAGTGTCCCTAGAATGGTCTATGGTCCAGCAACATCTGTTTTCTTTTTTTGTTTACAGTGGTCTATGGCCAGCACTGTCTTGACTGCGACCAGCTCTGTCCATGACCCTCAAAGTTTTCTTTTATAATTTAGATGGCTAATTTGAGAGATCTTTTCATCTCCCTCAGATCCAAGGAGTGGGATCAGGTCGCGCCACATGTCAAGGCCAAACTCAATCACTGTGCGGATGATGGAGAGTTCTGGTGAGTCATTTCACTGATGCGCCCTCGGCCTCAGATGCTTCCTTTTCCTACTATAAGAGTAGATTTGGCGTGTTAAATGTGTCAGTTCCTCCCTCTTTCCACCTGTGATTCTCATCCTTTTTGTCTTTTTCTTTGTTTCTGTTTAGGATGGCGTATTCAGACTTCAGGGAGAGGTACTCAAAGGTGGAGATCTGTAACCTGATTCCAGAAACTCCAAGCAGCAGTCACGTGGGCAAATGGGACCGCTGGGAATTTGAGGGTACCAATGCAGTACTAACCAATACAATACATTTGCCATTTTGCTGATGTAATCTAATCTGATCTTTGCACTCACTGGCCACTTTATCTAGCAGCGACTCTGACGGGTAAAAACACTGGTGCTGTAAACATCCCTGTCTTTAAACATGCACCAGTTTAGTTGACCTATAAGCAGGGCTGGAATTTTTGTTTTGTTGTTTTTTGGAACAACACATCCTAAAATACCTGTTTTTGATGCATTTTCACATTGAAATATACCTTAAAAATAACCCTACTTAGATTTTTATAATCAACCAATATAGGCTTTAATGTAGTGCACTTCCTGCATTAAATACAACATTTTTAAGAGGTGAAAGCTCGAATGTTTTTTGCTCCTAGGAGCTTAATGTCATGTCCAAGAGGGTCTCTGACATTTTCTAAAACAAAAAAGAAAAACTTATATTGCAGCATTTAAAAACTCCAGCCAGACTGCTGTGTCTGATCGACTTGTACCTATATGGTCAATGGACCTGAAAAAATGGACAGCGAGTGTTGAACCAAGGTAGTGTACTTAATGAAATGTCCAGCTGGTGTATATATAGGTGGATCATATAAAGTGGCCAGTCAGTAGAAGTGAATGATGTGTATACCTTGAATGTTTGTTTTCTCCAGCTACATTCAGATCTAACCGGCAGTTTTTCATAAAGCTGGACAGCCAGAAAGATTGGAAAAGCTGCTCGGTTCTTGTGGGTCTGATGCAGAAAGACGTTCGCAAGCAGAAACAGATTGGACATGACTTCAGCAACATCTGCTTTGCTGTCTATCCGGTAACATATGGCGCTAATCCAATGCATGTAATATCTCTATCAGTATATTTAAAAAAAATAACTGTATTCTTTGGTGTGTGTTTGTTTTTCAGGTCCCAAAAGAGGTGTGTAGGACAAACAAGACAAAGTAACGAAACTGCTGTGAAAATGGCAAATAGCACACAAGAAACTGAATGATAGGGAACATTAGCCTAATGTCTGTACATCCTTCAAACCAGGCAGTGATTGGGTAAACACTACACAATCAAAAAATTAGCCTACGGTCATTGGGTGCACAAGGTCAGTGCACAGCATGGTCAAAGTTAAAGAGAACTTTTAGCACTGCACATGGCAATGTCATGCCACATGTCTTGCCACAAAAAACAGGGCTATTTAAGTGAATGCAAATGCAAAACCTCTTTCAAATGTCTTTTTTGTCCATCAGAAAACTATAAATATGACTTTAATGCAAGAAGACATGTTTTTGATAGAGAATAATGTAATATAGTATTGGTGGTGAATGACAAAGAGACAAAGTTCCCAGGTTTCCCAGGTTTGATACCTATTACGGCTTATTACTAAGTAACTACAGGGACTCCAATGTAAACTGGTTGAGCTATTCTTAGGTTATAGAAGTGTGTAATAAAACTTTGGGACTACCGGCGGGTCCTGGCCATTTAAGGGGTTAAACCAAACAGGAATTTAAACTCGAGCACCTCATTAGCTGATCTGAGGAACTTGGGCCCCGTTCACACTTGGTATTGACATCCGTCTCAAGTGGCTTGATTTCGGGATTTCGGAACTGGAAGAAAGGTACCAGTTTGTTGTCAGACAAAAATGTACCAAGAGTCCATAAATGAAAGCGTTACAAGTATTTATACCACATGAACTGCTAACGTGACTTGTAAACAAATTGTAGAAGAGATGAAAAATGAAGCTACGCAGCTTTCATCTCTGATGAAGATGGTTCAGATGTTTTAGTGTTTACACTGTAAATGTCACGCGTCCCTGACCACTTCTAAAGGTGGTTTGAGAGATCGAATCACAATGTGTCGCCAAGACACACTGAAGGCCTCACGCCAAAACCATGAGACTTGGCAACCCTACTGTGTGAACCTGATGAATGTTTCACTTCATTAATTAGCATAAATTCAGGTTTGACCTGTTGCTTGTGCAAACTCGTCATAATCATCACCACCTTTTTCAAGATTTTTGCATATTTCAGGGACTGAGATGTAAACAAAGTCGTTCAGAGTGTAGCGATAGTGGATTGATATGAAATAGTTCACTGACTTTGATCTCTTCCCAGTGGTGGTGATAGAAACCAGAGCTCACAATGTCTACAACACACACGTTACACACTTTATTTACTATCCAAAATGACCAGTGAACCTACATGTGGCTGTCCAGTTTTTACATGTAATGTTGATGATGATAAAATAAGGGTAAATCTAAAAAAAAAAAGGTTTTCTTTCAGGTGTATTTTGCCTTACAGTTTTCCAGTGTCCCTCCACCATAAACAGATTAAAAAAAAAGTTTCAGGTCAAAACTAAATGTCAAAGCTATCATAAAACAATGATCCTTATTTGTCAAAGTTGTGTAAAAAAGAGCCCAGGTTTGACCGCCTTTAATGACGTATGAACTGCTCTGCATCTGATTCATAAAGCTTTCATGAATACGACGTGGAAATGAGCGGAGATTTGAGCGCAAGTGATGAATCAGCTTCAGTGCGTGAAATCAAGTGCCAGCCTAGCAACGCCTGATTTACATATCATATACATTACGCACACCATAATACACTCAGATGTTTCAGCAGCTCGTGAGCCAGTGGCTGTGCTTGTAGGTGGAGTGTGAGGTCAAGCAGCTCCCCTACTGACAAACTTTGTAGGGTTCAAATGATGGCAACTAGGAAGAATAAAATGTGAAAAAAAATGTTTTTTAATTACAGTAGAATGATGCAATTGTGTATAAATACTAAAATACATTTAAACACAGTGTACAGGAGACTTCTACACTACCTATATTCCTGTATTTGTCAGTATTATAAAACAAAAGCACCAGTAATAGTTTACACCAATGTGCATGTAAAATAAGTACATCCATGTCATGCCATGTGTGCAGATTGTTAGTATTATTATTATTTTGTATTTTTAATATTTACTATTGGTGTTATAGATGATTTGGTTGGTTAGTTAACCACAAATCAAGCATTTTTTCAGGTTGTTAAACATTTACTCTCAAATTTACATGCACTCCTACCAAACTTTACCAGATCACAGATACGCCAAAAACGAAACTGATGAATGGCAAAAAAAAGTTCGCTCACTTTATGATCAGATTTGAATGTACGCAACTTTGATGAATAAGGGCCATTGCCTCTGGCACCAGGCAGTGTATTTATAACCATTTCAGAGGCATAATAGTTTTCTGGGAGGGAGCTTTTAGAGGTATTGAACTCTTCAGACGTCTGGTTCCCATCACCACCATTGTAAACAATTCTGGCTCTTACGTTTCTCTAGAATGGAGCATTTCACTCTGACTAACTTTTTCTTTTCTGTCCTTTTTTTTGACGTCTAATGCTTTCATCTGCAGACATATTTGTGACCTATATTTTTTTACACTTCAAGGACAATCTTAAAGGGCCCATATCCAACATTTGTCTTGGATTTTACTTTTTTTTCCCCTGAGGTCCACAACATGTCATTTGTTGGATTATCAACCAAAATCATTTGAAATTCATTTTTACATGACTGTTTTCCAACCTCTCTTTCTCCCTTGGAATTAGAGTCGAATAGGTGGATATGTGTGAATGCGTTTTTGTGATAAGACCAATGGATTCAAAAACAGCTTATTTTTGCAGCTTAGTTTCCATATATGGATCGTATGGACTGGGAAGGGAAGGGTATGTTTTGGAACTTTAAAAATGTTTAACATTGTTAAACACTGACACATCTAGAGGACTGTAGCCAGTCACTGTACACCACATTAAACCTAATGTTTTTTTTTTTGTCCTCTGTATGTGTTGCAGTATAAAGACCGCAAGAGCATCCACTTAAGCCCTGAGGTGCTGTCCCGCACGAAGGCCGTCTTTAAATCTGAACACCACCAGATGCGTGAGGTGTGCCAGCGCTTTGAGCTGTCGCCTGGAGAGTACGTCATTATCCCCACCACCAATCAGCCGAACCAGGAGGGCAGATTCCTGCTGAGGGTGTTTTATGAGAAATAGGCCTACTTCAGCTCCAGTCCAGTTGTGCTATAATACAATAGAAAGAAATAGGAAAGCAGTCAACAGAAATACATCATGAACCGTATAAAGCTCCAATGTCCTTTCTTGAGAAGTAATATATTGTTCCATTTGTCGTTGTGAAAGTTAGGAGATTGTTATGTTTCTATCAAAATAATAGCCCGACCATCCCACAATAAAGTCATTGGTGGTCCATTAGAAGTTTGAACTGTTTCAAATATAAGGAAATATAACATGAAAATCAATGTAGCCCATTGAATTTTACTCATATAATCACGCGATGTATTAAACAGCCCTCGGTTTTTCAGTTTGTAGCCATTTATCCATAATGCATGAATTCCATATGATTAAAAACTAAAAATGTTTTCCACTGCAAATATAAACATATGTAGTTAGCTATGTAGGCTACACTGGTCATGCATTTTACCAGATCCATCACTGGGCTCAACCTAAATATGTAGGTATTTTTCATGTTTTATTTTTGCAAATAGTTTGTTAAATATAAATAAATTTTAAAAATGACTGCCAATGACCCTCTAGGCGTACTGCCCACTGGTGGGCCATGACCCAGAGATTGAAAACCACTAATATAGGAATGTACCTGAAAAATGATAAAGAACAAAGAAACAGTTGCATATAAACTGATAAATATGGTCCTAAACGTTTTATAAAAAACATTTCCTAGCAATTTTTAAATTTTGAGACCAAATAATTATCCTCTTGAACTGGGTTTCTTAAAAGGAAAATGAATTGTTTCATCCTGTTTTAATGTGAATTTTTTATGTTATGTGTGCTCAACGCTTTTAATATGTGACATGCAGTTTTTCACATTGTGATTAAAATAAAACTAAATATCATGCATTTCAGCCACGTATAGACTTCTGAGGTCATGCTTCATTTTGTAGACAGCCACACGCCTGAATAAGGAACTCCGGGTCTAAGCCATTTCTGCTTGTAGGAACAGTGAGCCCCATTTTTCATTTTAAAGTTCTAACTTTCAGCAGTATCATAAAATCAACAGCTACTGTCAACTCTAGAAGGCTTATCCTGGGAGCAGGCCACAAAATACAGCACCTGAACTTTGCGATTTGTCACTGGAACATTGGAACTCTTGTAAAAATCAATGACATAATGACTTTCACTAAATACCAAGAGATTTTAGCTCAAAATCTGTGGAACTGTCAGCAAGATAAGGACCCCAAACACACATCAAAATCCACACAGAAATTTTGCAATGCCCTTTTCAGTCTCCACATTTGCACCCAGGTGAAAACTTAGTGTACTGAAGGGTCAGCCCACAACTGAAGACCCAAGAATATCAAGAAAATAAACACATGGAGGTGTAGTCCCTCAACAAGTGTTCTCCAACCTTATTAACACTTGGCATTGCATTTAGTGATCTTAAGCTTGTATGCAGCTCCTCGGCCATGAAAACTCATTTCATGAAGCCCCCAGTGCGCAATTTGTGTGCTGATGGGGCTTAATGTAGTTTAATATACTCATTTTCATGTCACTACCAAAACACAGAGTTTTGTCATTAGGCGGGGCCTTATTTTAGCCACTCCCCTGCATTTTGGAGCAGGAAGTGAGACTGCATCCCTGTCCCTCATGACCAGTTAGATCCCATTATCCCATGACTCAAAGTCTGAAAATCAGTGTGTAACATTATAAATTGTCACTACCGAAACGTAAACGTTTTGTGTTTTTATCAAAAATATGATGATTTTATATGAGCTCATCTGCTGCTGCACAGTGTGTGTTGGTCATCCTCTAGTCCTTCATCAGTGGTCACAGGATGCTGCCCACAGGACGCTGTTGACTGGATATTTTTGTTTGGTGGACTATTCTCAGTCCAGCAGTGACACTGAGGTGTTTAAAAACTCCAGCAGCACTGCTGTGTCTGATCCACTCAGACCAGCACAACACACACTAACACACCCTCACCACATCAGTGTTACTGCAGTGCTGAGAATGATCCACCACCCAAATAGTACCTGCTCTTTGCGGGTCCATGGGGGTCCTGACCACTGAAGAACAGGGTAAAAGGGGGCTAACAAAGTATGCAGAGAAACAGATGGACTACAGTCTGTAACTGTAGAACTACAAAGTGCACCTATATAGTAAGTGGAGCTGATAAAATGGACAATGAGCGTAGAAACAAGGAGGTGGTCATAATGTTATGCCTGATTGGTGTATTACATTAAGCCTGTAGATTCAGCTGCAATTTTCCAGGTTGATACACAAAGGGAATAGACAGTCATTGCTACTATCTCTGTGGACACAACCCTGCCAGTGGAGTGGAGGCCCACAGGGCCAAACTGCCTCTGCACGATGGACTGTTGTTACATGACATGCTGTTTGTCGCTCCAGCGGCATTGCAGGATGAATTATTGTGTCTCACAATGGGAGAGGGGGACGCCTAGGCAGAGGCTACAGTCGGCTTTCTAGTGGCCAGAAATGGAGCTGGAAGTCTGCAAAGCATACAGTGCTGTGCTTGTACATGGTGCTGTGATGGAAGTCATGCTGCTGTGCTGTTACACAATGCTGCCCTCACACAAAAGTATACTTTGGCCCAATCCCATTTCTTATTTTTACTCCTACCCCTTGTTTTCGAGTGTCACCCTAACCCCTTGGAACTGAGTTACAGGGGTAGTGGTTGAAATCTTCCTCTATGAAATGAGACCCTCAAATAAAAAGAACATTACTTCATTAACAGCTACTAGCGCTGCTCTGTAGGCGACCCTGCCAGTCTGCAGTGACAGCAGAGGAGGGTAAAGTTCAGCTTCTCACTGCTGGGCTTTACTTACATTTAGGGCATCATATGCCTTCAAAGAGGTGGACAATTATTTATTATCGCCCACCCCTGATTCTTCAGTGATATGAAGCTGAAGTCAGATATTCACCAGCTTCTTGTTTGAATTTTCCCGTTCCACCTTAAATGGTGCAGCAGTTACATTCTGGTGCTTCAGGCGTCAGAACTGTTGGACTATTTAAGGTGGAATGGAAACTTAGCTAGCTAGCTACCGAGACATTAGCATGCGATTAGTGATTTTTTATGCTTGTTATTTAGAAAACCACCATAATACATTGAAACGACATTAAACTAAGATAATACAGTGGTTATCGTAATTTTTAACAGAGAAAATTCTCACATTTGTGGGTTTCTTTGGTCTCTTGTTCAGCCATCTTGCCGTTTTTTCTTATTTTTGGAGCCTCTGAAAAACCTCTGTTTAGAGGGCCATGTAGGCCTAACACTTCACCCTACCCCTCTATCTCAACAAAAATCAGCACACCCTACCCCTAGATGTGAACGTGCAAAACACAGGGTTAATGGCTAAGTGGTGGGGTGAGGGGTGAAATGGGATTAGACCTTAAAGTTCATTTTATTAAGTAAACCCAAGTAAAGTTCAAGTATATTTCCTAAGTATACTTTATGTAGTAAGTATACTAGTATCACTGTACTAGTAGTATACTTGTAAGTGTACACTTTCAGTACTTCTTGGGACAGTTTTTTTAGTCTATGAAAGTATACTTTAAGTATACTTTAGGCGTAAAAGTAGTAAACTTTGAGTACACAACTACTTTACAAGTTTTACCAGTTTAATTTTGTACTGTAACTATACTGTGAACTATACTGAATATGAACTAACAGGTACACTGTTAGTTTACTAGTCATATACTTTTATTCCACACTGTGAAATGTAACAATTGCAATTTTTTTCTACTTTACTCTTCTGTTACACTTACTAATGCAAATCTAGTAACACAAAGTATTTCTTGTATAATCCTTAGTTACTTAGGTAAAGTTAGTCAATCAATTCATTTGCATGAGTCCTACAGACTGAAGAGTATTTTGCCAAAGTTAACACAACATAAATACTACAGAAAGTTGGAGTTTCTCAATCTGACAAATTCAAACCAACTCAAAAATGAATTGTTGAGATAGTAACTCCGTCATTTTGATTAAATCCTTTGTTAGCATATTTTGAGTTGAGTTACTTTATTCAAGTGTTTTATGTTCACTATTTTTATTTAAGCTGACTTTGCAGGTGGGTACAGGCAGGGTTGGGTTTACAAATGATTTGGACTTTTCAAATGGGATCTTTGAGTTGAATCAACCTCTTGCAGTTTAGTTTAGTTTATTAAGACTTGATGAAAGCTTGGTCAATGCAAGCTTGAGCAAAACTTGCTTCATTCCTATTGGCTCTTGGTGGAATACTGGGCGTGTCTTTCCACCTTGTATAACCTACCATCTCTGTGTTGTCATTCTCCCCAGCCTACCTTCCCTTGGGCGCTCACTTATTTTCAAAATTTTGTGAGCTCATCTACAGTACTGACTGTAGGTACAGTACTGACTGACAATTCAGACCACTTCTGCATTCTGGGCTGAATTGTCAGTATTGGGCGAGATGGTCCAGAGCAGTATTAAGTTAAACTGTTTAAGGCATTTGTTCTGCCATTCAGTATAAATTTGTTCAAATTAAAGCCTAGTTTAGCTTTTAATGGAAGAAACTGATTTAGCTGAACTTGAGTGATCAGAGTTGTGTAAAGGCAGTAAATATAAGTTAAAATTACAACCCCATTTCCAAAAAAGTTGGGCTGTTGTGCGGAATGTAAATAAAAATAGAATGCAAATCATATAACCCACATTTGTAAAGTAAAACACTACAAAGACAACATACCAAATGTTGAAACTCAGAAATTGTATTATTTTTTGAAAAATATATGCCCATTTTGAATATGATGCCAACAACATGTTTCAAAAAAGTTGGGATGGGGGCCTGTTTACCACTGTGCTGCATCACCTCTTCTTTTAACAACACTCTGTAAGCGTTTGGGAACTCAGGAGACACTGCTGTAGTTTTGAAAGTGAAACGTTTTCCCATTCTTGTTTGATATAGGATTTCAGCTGCTCAACAGTTCAAGGGCTTTCCATTTAATAATACACCAAATGTTATCAGTGGTGACAGGTCTGGACTGTAGGCAGGTCAGTTTAGCACCCAGACTCTTTTAATACGGACCCATGCTTTTGTATGCATGCAGAATGTGGTTTAGCATTGTCTTGCTGAAATAATCAAGGCCTTCCCTGAAAAAGACGTCGTCTGGATGGCAGCATATGTTGCTAAAACCTGTATATATCTTTCAGCATTAATGGTGCCTTCACAGATGTGCACATCACCCATGCCATGTGCACTAATGCGCCCCTAAACCATCATGAATACTGGCTTTTGAACTGTGCAATGATAACAAGCTGAGTGGTCTTTAGTCCAGAGGACACAGTGTCCATGATTTCCAAAAAGAATTTCAAATGTTGATTCATCGGACAACAGGACACTTTTCCACTTCGTCTCAGTCCATTTTAAATGAGCTCGAGCCCAGAGAAGGTGGCAGCATTTTAGGGTCCTGTTTGTATATGGTTTGTTCTTTACATTTTAGAGTTTTAACTTGCATTTATGGATGCAGCGACGAACTGTTTTCACAGACAATGTTTTTCAGAAGTGTTTCTGAGCCCATGCAGTGATTTCCACTACAGAATCATGTCTGTTTTTTATGCCGTGCCCAAAGATCATGGGCAGCAAATACTGTTTTTTGGCTTTGTCCCTTACATACAGAGATTTCTCCAGATTCTCTGAATGTTTTAATGTTTTTATGTACTGTAGATGATGAAAAGCAAAAGTTTTTTTGCAATTATACACATTAATCTTGAATTGTTGCACTATTTGCTCATGCAGTCTTTCACAGAGTGGTGATGCCCCTCATTATCTTTATTTCTGAAAGACTCTGCCTCTCTGGGATGCTTTTATATACTTATTCATGTTACTGACCTATTGCCAATCAACCACCAGGTGTTTTTTTAGCATTACACAACTTTATCAGCCTTTTGTTGCCTAAGATAATACGAGTGCACAAAATCCACAGCTGCCCAACTCATAACATAAATAGGTATATAAAGCGCTCACACACATCCACACAGTAACCAGGTTTAAGGGTGTTTTAAACATATAATATTTTAAAAATAGATTTTATTCTTTAGATCACATTGTCAGTACATTCTGATCATTTCACAAGAAATAACCTGCTGAAAATGTAATGAAGAGAAAATATGAGCTATATATGAGCCATATCACTGCTGTAAGAACAAAACCTCGTATCTCCATTTTTGTCGTTTTTCAGTTTTTGACATAATTTGAAAATACCTGTTGCTGTTTAAATTATGTGTAAATTTCATGAAGAACTGACCAAAAGAAATGACCCAAAAGACGTCCGGTTCTACTGACTTACATTAAAAGTAAAGTAGGTTTTTTCCTTCTTCCGTAAAGTTACCATTTTGGAGATATGAGGTTTTCTTCCGACAACAGCGATATGTTTATATGTACATGTACAAGTTTTAAACAAGTAAAAAACAATGATGCAACAGCACCATATATGCAACCATATATTTATATAAACCAAAACATTTTGATGTTGTGATGAAGCGAATACGGGAGATGCAGGATAAGTTCCTGCAACAGGCACTCAAGCATCAGAACTGGACCTTGGAGTGATGGAAGAAGGTCACCTGGTCTGCACCATTTACCTGGGCAAGTGAAGGCATCAGGATGCATTGTAGGAAGAAGACAATCCGTGGGGTAGTGTAACACACAGGGCGATGTTCTGCAGGTCCAGACATGTGGACGAATTATTATTATAGAATTATTTTGGATTAAATATATGATTTGTAACACATCTGATATGAAAAAACACCTGTTCTGTGTGCATGTGGCTCAAACGTGCTTTAAATCAGACATACAGGAGGGTCAGTCCTAACAGAGGTATAGAAAAGAGCAGGACGTTCTCTGGTCCTCTTCTAATGTCCCTGTTTTCTGAAACTGGAGCCTCTGTGGAGCAAAAAAAAAAAGAAATCAGGTAAAAGAAAGTTAAAAAAGAAAGAGAAACATTTCCAACGTTTATAACCTCAGTATAAACCATATTTATGCACCAAACCTCAGTTCTAATTCATTTAACATGAGCTTTTTCAAACCTGTCTTTATGTCTTAGAGCTACACAGGCTGTCTTTGTTACTGTGCCTTTAAGACTGATATATGTAACAGCCTCTGTTCTGACTGGCTGCCCTGTTTTGCGCCTCATTCAAAAAAGCAGCCTGGGCTGAAAAGTGGACCAAACTGGTAAGTTTGGACTGAAATTCTCTGTAATGTTGGAAAAAATATAAACTATAAACTTAATAAATAAAACTAAACCAAATCAGCTGCTTGTTTCAGATGTGTGGATTCTTTGGAAGGCTGCAATGAGGCATTTGCCTCCTGAGATCCATGAACAGTACAACGTTTTAATCTTTCTTCCACTTCAATAACTCAGCAGGAACAGCGCAGAGTGCTTCCACAGGAATGGATGGTCATACATGAATGTGCTCATGAATGAGGCATCACATCTATGACTTGGGCCAATTTTTCAGCTCACTTTCCGTATAATCTCTGTACGGACTGGACATGAACAGCACGTACAGAAACGTCTATGTGTAGTTAATACATCATTTTAGAAAAGTCGGGAAAATTGTGTTTTTATAAGAGTTGGGCCCTTTAGCCTATTTATGCCCAACACAATGAAACAGGTAAGATAAAGAAATTTATTCCATCAACATTATTGAAGAAAAACTGAAAAAGCCCCAAAACATTTTATGGCATTTTTTCTCATTTTATTGTGAAAAAGGAGTTCTAGTTACACTCAAGGGGATCCCCCAGGACCCCCTATTTAACCTACTGGACCCCTTGAGTGTCTCAAAATCAGAATTCTGGTGGGTCCCTGAAAATGATATTATGCTAATTCACACACACACACACACACACATTTTCTAAACTGCTTATGCTTCTGGGCTGCGGGGGTAGTCATTGCAGTCATCGGGCAGAAGGCAGGAAACACCCTGGACTGGTCGCCAGTCCATTGCAGGGTATGCTAATTAAAAAAGAAGCTATTGTTTGGCCTGCTTCGCTCAGAAAACAGCGAGCTTCTGTCTTTAATATTCTTAACTAACAAATGATGCAGCACTGCTCTGTCTCAGGGTGGCTTATTACAAACTAAGGCTTATTATACAGTAACTACACGGACTTTAATGCAAACTGGATGAGCTGTTCTTAGATTATAGATGTGTTCAATAAAACTTTGGGCCTGTTGGCAGGCCCTGGCCATTAAACAAAACCCAACAAAAATGGTTTTCAACTGTCCCTACACACCTTTAATGGTCAGAATTGATTCCGTGTTTGCATTGCCAGCAGGAATGAAGCAGGTGTACGTTCCTGAGTCAGCCCTCGTCACACTGCTGAGTGTGATGGAGAAGTTTCCTTTTGTCCACTCAGCTGGAAAACTTTCAACTCTGCCTCTGAATGACGCGTCCTGCTCATCAAAGGATTCTCTGCTGTTGATGATGTCGTACACAGTGCTGTTGTATCTGAATCTCCAGAACACAGTCAGTTTACCCTGCAGTGCCTTATCACTGTTCGAACATGGTAAGATGACGGTGTCTCCTACAACAGCTTCAATCTCCTGCAGAGACACTGAAAGGGGCACTAAAACACACAGACATAAAAAATAGCCTTTTATTTTTCTTATGTGCTGCATATTTCTTATTGAGATATTTAGAAATGTTTGTATATTGAGGTCAATTAAGTTCTCACCTTTGTCTATCAGCAGCAGGAACACACAGGAGAACCAGCATCTGCAGAAACGTCAACAAAACACACTTTCTCAAAGATGTTGCTCTGCCGAACGCTGTCGGCTGACCACTGATAAGCTAAGATCTGCCTCCTTTTTTAAAAGCAAACTGAAGATCTCTCTCTCTCTCTCTCTCTCTCTCTCTCTCTATTTATGCCTTCTGTCCTGTAATTTTACAGTTATTTTACTGTGTTTTATTATATTTGTGTGTATTTCGTAGCTATATGTGGTTTAGTTATTAAACCTGAAATACAGTTTTTGCTTGTACACTGTTCGTATTAATAAAAGTAAATAATAGTTAATAGTATTAAAGTAAGTGAAATTAGGCTTATATTATTAGTATTGTTGTGGAGTCCATGATGGCATGAGAGTCCAAATGAGAACCAGGAAGCGTGAGCACTATTATTATTATTATATTTTCTACCCAGCTTATTTTTCACATCGTAGTCTTTGGTTTTTTTTTTTGCAGCTGTTCTTTACACTGACTAAAAATTCAAGACAAATGAAGCAACAGAAATGGTCCAAGAATAAATGACTTAGAATAAAACCTCTTCACATTAACTTACATTGAAGGTTCAGAATGTTTTTCTCCTGTAAAGTTACCATTTCAGAGATACGAGGTTTTGTTCTGACAGTGAATAAATGTTGCTTTTATTGTCATTGACGTTGTTGTTAATATCATTACTATTGTCCCCATCTCTTTTCTTTGTGGGGGGTGGGGTGGGTGGTCAAAGTGTTGGCCCTGTCATCAGGAGATTGTAAGTTTGATCCGGGGTGATGCTACAGCCATCTGTGGCATCTGTGGCTGGGAGCCCAAGAGAGCACTACCGGTCTCGCTCTCTCTGGGTGGGTAGGATGCCCACCTCCCGTCTCCCCCATCACCCAGCGCAATGCTAGCCAGTGCAGGCGTCTGTTAGCTAACATGACAGAACTGGTGGTTAGTGTTCTCCTCCGAGCGCATTCGGCTGAACGATGACGTAGCGTTAGCGGCAGTTAGTAAAGATGTGGTGGTGCTTCACAGGTTTCGGAGGAAGCTTGTGCTAAGCTCCGCTCTCCTAGAGCCTGTGGTATCATGATGGAGGGAAACCTAACTAGTGGCTGGTATTGAAAATGACCAAATTAAGGAGAAAATTAGAAAAAAAATGCCCGATTTGGAGGAAACTGATTGAAACTGGGAAACCATGATTCTGCTGTGAGCAGTGCTCTTTCATTAAACACGCCAGAATAAGGGTACACACATGACTGAAACTGGGGGGGTGGGTCACCCTTAGCCACATACTCTAGCCTGATGGCGACCAACACAGTGAGCTCACAGTGACAGAGATGACAACTGAGTAGAAAACTTCACAGAGATAAAGACGTATCTGCTTTATTATGGTGCTTTTTAGCTTGTTTGGTCAACCTGTTACCTTTCTAAATACTAAATTTCTAAAAATTTACTTTTAATATGTTTGTGTGATACACCATCAATCTCTTTCATTACCAGCTGGTGATCAGTCAGCAGGCCTGGATTATCACGTTATCAACCCCTGGGTACAAATATTTGGTGGGCCCCTACCTTGTTACCATTATGACATTTTTTAATGCTGTCACAGCAGGTTACAAGAGGCCTAGGCAGCACCATGACGGCAGCAGTGTAAGCTTTTTCTTTCAGTCGAGACAAAATGAAAGCAAGATTATGCACACATTAATGAGAACATGGGTCACCACAAAACCCCACAACCTATGTGACACTTCCTTATAAAGCATGAGTCCTTTGTTTTCTCACAAGTAACACATTTACCCCAGTAAAGACAAGAACAAATTAAAATCAGACAGCTGAGATGTGCATAAAGAGGGCAAAAGCAGCAAACACAAACTTAAAAGCTATCAAGCATTCTAGGCCAAAGCGTACTACCACAGTGGGTGTGGTCTTTCCTTGATGGACTATTGAATGTAGGTCTCAGCTTTCATATTCGGACTAAATGCATGCCCACCTATTACGTTTCATTGACCCCCCAGTCAAAGCAGTCTAGAACTGGGCCTGCAGCCATGATATCTAATGCCGGTTTTAGCTTTGTGTGTTATTACAAAAATAAGGTACAAAAAAATCTACATACCATACATACCTCAAGCTACACCTATCGCTAATCATACATACAGAGATGAAATTATAAAAATGTAATATCCTGATGTAGTAACCAAAATTATCACTGTTATTAGTACTATTGTGGTTTTGTCAAATTGTGCTGAAAAAGTACTGATACACAAACTGAAATCATTTAACCTAATTTTATACTGAAAACTACTAATTAAATAACATCACCAATATCTCATGTAAACATATGAAAACTGTATCAAATGTGCATTAACATTAAAGGTGGTACCATGAACCAAGGTTCAAACGTTTTATTGTGTTTTTAATGCTAATTTAGCACAGACACAGCTTAATATTACTAGGCTTACTTCCCCCTGATCAGCTGATTTAGGCCTTTCGAAATATCCTAATTATTCCTTTAATGCTTATCTGTTAAGGACATTTAGACTATCAGACTATCCTACCTGTAGTTTTAATGCGAGGTTGAAGTTTGCTTCCTATTTGCCAGCTTCTTGTTCAAATTTTCCTGTTCCACCTTAAATGGTTCAGCAGATACATTCTGGCACCTGAGGCATTATAGTAATAAAGGCTGCACCATTTAAGGCGGAACAGGAAAATTCGAACAAGAAGCTGGCGAATAGGAAGCTGAGTTCTGTAGTAGTTTTGATGCTGGTAGGCTTTTTTGATAAGGTTACTTACACCTTCAGAATATCCTACCAAGAGTCTTATGTATGGATCTACCTATAAAGGTGCGCTATGGTAGGACATTTCGACAAGGTAACACAATTCGGCATATTTGCTGTAAGGTAGTGAGAGGATGTCACGAAGACGGCTGTTTTGCAGCGATTTTCTTGCAATGTTCAGACCTTAGTTCATGCTGGACAGTGTTTAACTTGACTTTTTCAAATTTGTGATAATCGACCATGGTTTTAGTGATAGTCCTGCTCACTCTTGAATTAGTCTGAACAGATAGACTGAACTGATAAACTGATAAACCTGAACACAAAACACCATCACGGTGAGAACAACATGTAAAATGCATCTAAACTTCACATTTAACATGAGAATATGCTATGACTCAAAAATAACAAGAAAATTTTATTCATAAATTATAAAAATAAGACCCACAAAAACGCTTTTTGGTCTTCAGTCTGTAAGACGTATTCAAATGAACTGATCTGTGTTAAAGTTATCTAGGTAACTATGAATTATACAATAAATAGTACGTATTACAAGATTTGTATTAGTAATCTCAACAAATAAGTAAACCCCTTCAGGAATAAGTGCAATTATTAGTAAAAGCAAAATCACAGCATGTTGAACCAGACAATTTAGATAGTACTTAAGATTTAAACAGCACTTAAATATGTTACTACTGAATATAAAAGTGTACATACCGCTGATCGAGCTTCAACAGAGTCATAGTGGTGTCTGTACAGCTCAGAGGAGAATGAAAGAGATGAATTTCCCAACCACAGGCTATTAGTAAGAATCTGTTTAACAAACGCAACTGGAAATGCGAAAGTTTGAAGAACTCTCTTTGTGCTTCCCTTTCTGGGGACATTCTAAAATGCTGATAATGTGAAAAATGGTAAACATTGCTTAATGTACTAAAACAGAACCTGGAAAGACCAAACTTCTTTCACTTACTGTCACATGTTACTGGTCAGAAGCAGGGTTAGGATGTATAGGAATACAAGTATCCTGATACATACCAGTCAGAAATTAAGTAACTATATTCAGTCCAAGTTACGTTTTGTAAAGGCAGCATTCAGAATACAGTTATGTTTTAATTTTAGGAGAATACTTTTAGAACACTTACCCACAAAATGAGAAAAATATATATAATCTTTAAAAGAAACTCCATCATTGCTTGTTTATTAACTACTTCACAGCATGTGAAGTTACTGCGAGTAGACTGATAAATCAATGTGGTGATCAGTTATTAATCTCAGCGTTACTGAGCTCTGCTAAAGCCTGAGTAGACTGATAAATCAATGTGATGATCAGTTATTAATCTCAGTGTTACTGAGCTCTACTAAAGCCTGAGTAGACTGATAAATCAATGTGATGATCAGTTATTAATCTCAATGTTACTGAGCTCTACTAAAGCCTGAGTAGACTGATAAATCAATGTGATGATCAGTTATTAATCTCAATGTTACTGAGCTCTACTAAAGAATAGACTACTAAAAAAACAAAGTTTATTAACCATTGTACTAAGACAGCATTGCTTCATTTTGTGAATGACCTCAGGCTTAGATGCACAGAATCCTTCTATTTTGGTCTTATTGGAGGTTTGATACTGTTGATCACAACATTCTAATACACTGCCTTGAATGCTGTCTAGGCCTGTCCAGCACGGTTTCAGAATGATTTAGATCATATTTAACGAGAGTTACTGGTTTTACTGGAAGATCATTCATCAAAACAATTTAAGATCTCTTGTGGAGTCCCACAGGGTTCAGTTTTAGGGCCTTTGCTTTTCTCTTTGTGCATGTTACTTCTAGGTGATGTTACAAGGAAACATCAGCTATGCTGACGACATGCAATTATGCATTTCCATTCCTTCTGATGATCAAGACGCTGTAGACAGGCTGACCAGCTGTGTGTAGCTTTACATACCAAACCAGAAGTATAAAACCTGGGTGTGATCTTAGACTCTGAGCACTGAGTTTTATCCCGCATGTAAACACAATGAACAACAACAATGAACATTTATCTTGTTACATTTCCAGAGGTGACCAAGTGGTTCCCCATTACAAGCTGCAAGACACTAACCAAGACATTAATAAACACTAACCTTGTTCAGTTTCATTACTAGTTCATCCTTTATGCTTCTACAAGTTTGCCTTCTTGGCTTTGTGACTTTATGTGTGTTCATTCCTGTTGGTCATGTTTATGATGTTATGATATATGCTGATCTAGGGCTACTTCAAGTTGTGTCCATGTGGCCAGAAAATAAATGTCAAACACTAAAGTGGGTGACCTTGACTTCTGCCTGCAGTGCACTAAAATGAAACATCGCCATCTAGTGGACATCATTGCTCACCGTTCAAATCATTACGATTTGCCACCTATATCTTGGATTCCACAGACTGGATGGGTTTATTATCTAGAGCCCATCTATAGATACACTATTGGTGTTTAGCCATCCTCTAACCTTGCAATAGTTGGATCAATGGGTCATCTCTGACCATTCCTAAACAATATGTGGTCCATGTAGGTTCACTGGTGGTTTCGGATAGTAAATAAAATGGCTATATTTGTGTTGTAGTCATGGCGACCCCTGGTTCCTATCACCACCACTGTAAAGTAATCTGAACCATTTCACACCAAACCACTCTGAATCACTCTGTTTATCTCACACAGAAAACTATGCAGAAATTTGGAAAAAAAATGGTGGAATTCCCCTTTAAGAACAGCAAATTAATAGCAACAACCCTTTGTTTTACATCACTCTACAGAATCAATGTCTCAGCTAAAGCTGACAGGTTTTTCTCTGCAGTGTGATTTAGTGATACAGTCATTTCCTATTTACTGAAATTTTTGGCATATTGATATGAAGACTTGTTTCATAATTCGTTATGAGTTTACAGGACGCCTTTATGGGATTTATTACCTGTGTTGCTGCAGTGCTGTATAACTTAGAGGTAGATCACTTTGTACTAGAAAAACATGTTCTGAGTATTTGATAGGGTTCACGGCAAATTTGATAACCTACTGAGAAAACCTGCTGAACTCTTTACACCAGCAGTTTTTGAAGCAGCCACTAGATGGTGCTCTTCACCAGTTTGAATTGACTGCAGTGCTTTTTCATTAGTCTTAGTTTTTGTTGTGTAATCTAATCCTAATATATGTTAAAATAAATACATATTTATTGTAATAAATGTATAACTGTGTGTGTGTGGGGGGGGGGCGGAGTTTGTGTGTGTGTTTGGGAGGAAGGGAAGAAATCACTGAGTGTAGAGACGGAGTTGCTGACCACAGCAATCAGTCATGTGCAAAAGTTTGGACAGCCCCAGTCACATGACGTGTTGTTGATTTCCTAAGTGAAGATGAGCTCACACACCCTCTACAGAGAACACACTTAAATATGGCACATTTTTTGTGCACAGTTTCAATTTATTTGCGTTTAACATAAAAATAAAAACATAAAATGTGTCGTAACTTTGGTTTATTTTTCCCCAAAATGTTAAATTTAGCAAATAAACAGCAATCATGAATTAAAATGTGCAGAAGTGTGTTCTCTGTAGAGGACGTGTTAACTTATTTACACTTAGAAAATCAACAACACGTGTCGGGGTCAAGCTCTGCTGTTCATTCAACACAGTTTTCACAATAAATGGTCTTAAACTCTGGAGTTATTGTAGAGCTGCTAATTCACCCTTTAACTAGGCTGTGCCTAATTCATAAAATAGTCTAGAAAAAATAGGCTGAAACACCCCTTATAACTTTATAACTTTATCATTATATAAACGGATGTAGGCTGAAAAGATGACATCACAGAAACAATGAATGAAACAGGGTCTTTTTACAGCTTAGTTTCCATATATGGACTGTATGGACTGATCTGTATGTTTTACAGGATGTTTACGTTACGTTTACATGCTTCATTAAACTCTTTTCTTAAAAACAAAGTGAGGTAAATTCAGTTTTCTATGATACGGGCCCTTTAAAAAAAATGCTAAAAAAAAAACATGCAACCACTAAACCACTCAAGTTTTGAGAACCCCCATATAAAATGAGTTCTATACAAATGAAAGGGTTTTTTTTTTTCTAGAACTGTACATGAAATCCATAATCATTAAGGAACCTTTATTTTGATATTTATTATTACAAATGAATTCCAGCAGATGCTTTAAGAGGGTCTGTTTTAATACACTGAATCAGTACAATTACTCCACTATTACCAATCAACATACTACAAAACACAGGGTACAAAAACTTCACCAACCTTATAGTGAGCAGTTGTTTACTGTGTTTAGTTCTCATGAACACAACAGTTCTGTGGAAATAGTAAAACAAAAGTAAACATAAGACGCTGATTGGCAAAAATGTTACACACTGTTTAACCCTTACTTGACCTGTCAATCCAGTGCACTGAGATGTAAACAAAGTCTTTGAGGATGGTTTGATGAGACGTTGTCCATCATTCAATTTACTGCATCAGAATCTGAAACCATGTCTGTGTCCATGTAAACAAAAACTAAATGACGAACACTTATCAGAAGTCTGATAACCATCTTCTAGTTTTTAACCGTTCATTGGAAAACACCAAGAAATTTCACTTCAGCAAGTGGTTAAAAACATGCAACCACAGTCAAAAGGATGGTTACAGTATAATATAGTAGTAGTACACAGTAACTTCACTACTGGAAGGTTGGGGTATGGAGTAGTAGTCGGGATGTAGAAGTGGAGTAGATGCTCCACATGGTACAATATGTTAAAGGCGCAGTATATAATCCCGAAGAAAGATAACAAATACATACAAATACAATACAAAACAAAGAAACCCAAAGTTCACTTGAGTCTCACTTGACTTGACTTTTAATTCTAGGCTGAGCCTGTTGGGTTATTTCCAAAGTTGGTTGGTGGTTTCAAGGGTACTTTTGGCCACTGTGTCTGTTTCTCTGGTGTACTTCCACAGAGAAGTTTGGTGTGTATCCACAGTCTCTGCTGGCCTCCACCGTATTGACCTGTAGGCATATTGTTTCACCACCAAGGGCGTAACTGTGTAGGAGACCACAGTTCTCTGAAAGGCTGTCGTTAGATGTTCCAGGTGTATGTATGCTGCAGATGACCTCATCCACACAGGCTGCGGCAAAACCCTCTTTCCAGACAGCAAATCATGCATCAGCCCCTTAGACATTGCTGTGGCTACATGTGATCCAAAAGGCATAACTGTGTAATGACACAGTCCGCTTGGGGAAAGCAGCCAACTTCCTTGCTGTTTCGCTCAGTGGTACCTGCCACTGACTTTATACCTTTACAACTTGGCTTCTCAGCCCATGGATTTTCAGCATTGGGTTAGACCTGAAAGCTAATACTGTGATCGGTTTTAAAAAGTCCACATGGAAACCAAGTCTACTGTCCTTACTTGGGACTAAGATTACTGGGCTTTAACAATCCCCTTTGAACGATTCAATCCCACCACCGCTCTGTTCCTCGCTGCTCCATCATACCAGCTTTTCTGTTGCTGTTGAGCCTTCTACACGTTCTTACGCACAAGATTTGTCAGCTGGTCCATCTTGTCTGGGACATAGGCTTGGACGTTCCTCTGTGTTATCCCCTTCTGATGCTTCTTTGAGGACTTTGACCATTGTACCTGTCTTGCAGGCAGGAGCTCAAACAGAAAAAATCAAGTGGAAGCTTGTGGGACTCTGTCACTGTCATTCATCATCATCTTGTCAAATTGTGGGTCGTATGCAGTGGTCCAGGGGTGTTCAGTCTTATCCACAAAAGACAGGTGTGGCTGCAGGTTTTCATTCTAACAGAGTATGAACACACATGATCAGATGTTTCCCAGCTGATCTAAAGAGAAAAATCAGCTCCAGCTTGTTTGGAATGAAACTTGTGTAGACATGTTAAACCTGTCGGCTTAGTAAGCATTGGGGTGTGATGACAGCCTCTTCTAAAACCGCTACTCTCTTTGTTGTTGAAAAGGCACACAAGTTCAGCAAACTATTTTGAGTCCTTGGTTATGATAAAGTTAGGGTTTTTCAGTTTAGTTGAAATGTAACTTAACAACTGATGCTACCATAATAAGAAAAGAAGCGAACTTCAGATTAAACTGTCACTTGCTTAAAGTCACAGTGATGGCTAAACATCTTAACCACTTAATATAGAAAAGAAAAACATTAACATGGGAGGTTTGGTGGGTCACACCTCTGCCTACCATGCTGTAGACTGGGGTTCGAGGCCCCGCCCGGGCAAGCACCCAATGCTATACCAATAAGAATCCTTGGGCTTGACTCCTAACACTACCTTCGCCTACTTCTGTAAAACGATCAAACAGCATTTCTCAACCTCTTTGAGTCGCGACCACCTTAAGATGTATTTTGGGGGTTTGTGACCCCCCACACTCTCGACCCACCCCTGAAAAACACCACAGCTTTTCACATTTCTCTGTGTGGAGAATGTAGACATTACATACTCAGCTGTCACTGTGTCTTAAGATGTCTTGACAGTATTTATAAGATGTCTTGAGACATTTTCTTATGCCAAGACATCTCAAGAATGTCTTAAGACGTATGAGTGAAGACACTGTCTTTGTCTTGAGACATGAAAGTTAACGTCTTAAGACAAAGAAGTAATTATTTTGTGTGTCTAGAAGACGAGGCATGACTTAAGACATCACTTTGTCTTAAGACATAGAGATGTTGTGTCTTAAGACAGTTCAGTTGAGTCCAAAGAGTGGTCCATTACAAAACGTCCTGTGGTATCAGTGTGGCATTCCTGTGGTACTGCCAAACTGAAAATTACAACTGAGGATTACCAGGATTACCACAGCATTGCCTAATGTAGAATATAATGAGAATATAACAAGTATGTCCTCAAGAAACAGGCTGCTGTAATCTTTTTTTTTTTTTTATTATTGCAGAAATGAGTTTACAGTAGCAAAACAGCAAGAGAAAAAAATCAATTCTTAAACCATTTACCTCACCTTAAAATGTTTAAACTCGTTTTCTTACATCATTGAAGTTCATGGCAGAATAACTTTTAATTTATCTCCATTGGTAAATGTTACAATCACCGTCAGTCACAGCCTTTTGCTCATTTGCAGAAAACATGCTATGATTAACACAACATCGATCTATTTTCAAATGTCCAATTGTAACCAGAGACAACAAGCTAGGAACCAAGATAAAACAACTTTGAACTAATAGGAAGTAAATGTACTTAACAGCTAACCTGAGTACTTTAGAAATCACATACAACCAAAACTTAATGAAAAAAAGCACTTGGTTCACTCTCTTCAACATCTACACTTCTGTTTATTCTCTTAAGTAGATCAGGGCTGCCCAAAGTTAGACCATTAGGACTTTTAAAAAGAAAAAGAAAACAAACTTTTTTATATACCATGTATAACTTTCAAAATTATTATCTCCAGTATTTGGAAAACACGAACAATAATAAACAAATGTATTTGAGTAGTAATATATAAAGACCTGTATTGTTTCACCACGTAAAATTACATAATAAACAGATTTTTGTTTAAATGTCCAACTTCATACTTTGACTTAAATATATTAAGACATGGCCTCCAGTGATGCTTTGTATGATAATCCTGTACAGCTGTCTCATGTATTTCAAGAGTTTGCAGTTTTCTACTCTGTGTCTAGATTAAAACAGACAAACAAACAAACAAAAACAAAACAGCACAGTTCATTCAGTACAGAGAGGTGCGAACCGGAAAAAAAAAGATCTATGGGAGGACAAACAAAGACTGGCGGGAGTTTCAGACCAATCAGACCGCTAGGACGTTTGGTTTTGAAGCGCGAGCGCTCTTTGGGGCCGTTCCTGCTTTTAAAGCCAAGCGCGACCGTTACAGCCGTTTACAGTGAGCGAGCCTCTCAGGTCGCTAACGCGGGCAGTTTTATCGAATTTGTTTAGCGAGTGTTAAACCTCGGTAAGACTCCCAGCTTCAGCTCGATACAGCTGTCTCATCCCAGCAGCGCACTGTAAACATACAGCCCAGCTTCAGCTCTGTACAGCTGTCTCACCCAGCAGCGCACTGTAACCATACAGCCCAGCTTCAGCTCTGTACAGCTGTCTCATCCCAGCAGCGCACTGTAACCATGCCGCCCAGCTTCAGCTCTGTACGGCTGTCTCATCCCAGCAGCGCCCTGTAACCATAGTGCCCAGCTTCAGCTCTGTATGGCTGTCTCACCCAGCAGTGCACTGTAACCATAGCGTCCAGCTTCAGCTTCAGTAACCATACCGCCCAGCTGTCTCACCCAGCAGCGCACTGTAACCGTAGCGCCCAGCTTCAGCTCTGTACGGCTGTCTCATCCCAGCAGCGCACTGTAACCATGCCGCCCAGCTTCAGCTCCGTACAGCTGTCTCACCCAGCAGTGCACTGTAACCATACTGACCGCCCAGCTTCAGCTCTGTACGGCTGTCTCACCCAGCAGCGCCCTGTAACCATAGCGCCCAGCTTCAGCTCTGTTCGGCTGTCTCACCCAGCAGCGCCCTGTAACCATAGCGCCCAGATTCAGCTCTGTACGGCTGTCTCACCCCAGCAGCGCACTGTAACCATACTGACCGCCCAGCTTCAGCTCTGTTCGGCTGTCTCACCCAGCAGCGCCCTGTAACCATAGCGCCCAGATTCAGCTCTGTACGGCTGTCTCACAAAGCAGCGCCCTGTAACCATAGCGCCCAGCTTCAGCTCTGTACAGCTGTCTCACTCAGCAGCGCCCTGTAACCATAGCGCCCAGCTTCAGCTCTGTACGGCTGTCTCATCCCAGCAGTGCAGCCATGGAAGCTCATAAGGTTTGGAGGATGGACAGGTGAGATGCTGTGCTTGTGCGCAGCAGAATCAGTCAGTTGAAGCATTGAGGTAACTGGAACAAATGAAAGGCTGCCACAGAATTAAATCTAAGATTGATCACAGTGCAGCAGGGTCAGCACACTGAACAATACAACAATGAAACTGAACACAGTCCGTCAGTCTGTGTAGTTCAGAGAGGGTAGTAATGATTTTAATTTGCTCAGTTACATTTACTCCAGTAACGTCTTAGTGGATTTGTACTTTCTAGAGTATTTTTAAAATGTATTATTTGTGCTTTATATTAATAATCTATGTTTTACTCGGCTACATTTTAGTCAGTAACATATAATGACCAGTTTGTTTTGTGTTTACGTTCATTGTTATGCTTTGCTGTTAGTATTGTTTTGCTGCATTTACCTCATGTGTCTGTTTTGTTTTAGATGTTTCTCATCAGAAATCATCTGAAGCTGAGCAACTGGTGAGACTCAAGTTTTAATTTTTTAAATAAAACTATATGAATGTCAGACAGATGTTTAGATTTGGTGGGTATTTCAAACAAATATATTTCATGAAGTATTTATGGTAATACAGAAGAGCAGAATGTTTAGGTAAAGCCGGGTTACAGTATTCAAATATCTGCGCTTTGTTCATTCAATTTATTAATATGTTATTTGCCACTACAGCTGTGTTCAAAATATCAATATGGCAATATCACCAACACTGTATCAATATTTATGAATTTACTTCTTCACAGTGCAGTTAACATGTTTTTCCCCGTCTGTAGAACAAATCAAGTGTGATGACGCTATTGTACTGTGCATATACACAGTTGTAAAAACAATAAACAATAACTGTAATCTATATTTTTTTAAAGCTATGTGGGTGCTTTTTCATGGGCTGTGCTTTGGATTGCAGAGTAAATTATTTGAATGTAGAAGTATTCTAAATTTTTAACAGATTAACAAGGAAATACAAAACTGTAAAATAGTGATTTTCCATACCCCTTTAAATTACATTACAAAATGGCTTTTACAAAGTTACAGACTGGGAACCATGTGCCTATTATTATTATTATTATTATTATTATTATTACTTTTGTTGTTAAATTTGTTCTGAAATGTATAAATGTAGTATGTACTAATGTATGTAATGTTTGTATGTTTATAAAATAATGTACAATATATATATTAAAATAAATGATACCATTATGCATCCTACATTGAACAAAAAAATTCAATCATGAAAAAAAATGAATTACTAGAATTTTTGCTATAAATAATGTTACGTTTTAAAATTCCCTTAAAAATATTTAAAAGTAAAAGATTTATTTTTAAAAAATGTAGGTAAAATTTAAAAATACATATTATGCATCCTACATCTTGAGACATCTTGGGATGTTATTATTGCAAAGACATCTTAAGATCCGTGTCTATAGATATGTCTTAAAGTCTTATCTATATCTTCATTTCTTAACACATGCCTCAAGATGTCCTAAGACGTATTCATACTGTGTCTTTAGACATGTCTAAAGACATCCCAAGACATGGTAATGGCTGGGTACATACCCAGCCATTACCATGTCTTGGGATGTCTTAAGATATCCTGTGGTATGAAAGTGCATTGAAAAGATAAATGATTAATGGATTAAAGGAACTAAGAATATTGTAGTGCTAAGATAAAGTGCAGAGCTAAACAACGACACAAAGAAACAAGTTTTTAACTAGACTTATATCTGGAGCCTATCTGACATCATCTGGCAGCCTCACCCTATTTGGCTCTTATATTGGCCACTACTGACTGACCAGTTCCTCGTGATTTAGAGAAGCCTTTTGGCTTTAAATACCTGAAGCATGAAGCCATTCAGTGATTTAAATATAATTAGAAGCACTTTAAAGTCAGTTCTGTAGTGAATTGGTAGGCAGCGCAGTGACTCGAGAATTAGAGCAGTGTCCTCGAATCTCTTAGTTCTCTGCATTCACAGGTATTCAGCAGCTCCTTCTAAACTGAGACAGTCTGGACAAGTGATGTTACTGCTTTTCGTAACAAAGTTAGCTAACCACATACTGTTGGTACACAGTCAGCTTAACTTACGACCAGGCATAAGCCCCGTTGCAGCAGTCAGTCCCAGGTGTAGCAATCCACACCACTATGGTGGTGGTGGTGGTACATTGTAACTGGTTCAGCACTAAAGTTAGACAAGTCAGACATACAGTAGAGCAAGTCCCAAAAGAGCTGCTGAAAAAAGAAGAAGGTTCTGTGGTTCGCTTTTGACATCCTGGTTTATCAGGGTTTGTATACGTCTTGAGACAGGAAAATCTGTGGAACACAAACAAAAGCATATAATTAAACTTTCTCAAAATATAGTTTGGGCTAAAATCTCATGAAAATCTCCAGCTGCTGCTTTGCCATTAAAAGGGGGTGGAGAGCCAAGACTGAGTAATTAGGGCTGAGCAGTAGCAGCTGTGGTCACCTACTTAAGGTGCTGACTACGAACACAAGCATTGCGAGTTTGATTCTTACTCAGGGCGAACCCTGAGTACGTAACAGGATCCGGTGCAAGGCTGCAATGATAAATTTGCCTCCTGACAGACATGAGCAGCGCGGCGTTTAATTTGCAGATGATAATAAATTTGCATTTATTAGTGCTCAGCAGGTTTCTGCATACGTTTAATCTGAATGAGAAACTTCAGCCTCGTAAAAAGAGAGAGGCAAAAGAAGTGCGGCTGACCTAAAGCTTAAAGCAGAGCAAAGCAAGTCTGCGTTTTCATTTATATTATATTTTTTAGCTCATACTAGGACATTAGCACACACTGAGACGTACTTACAGCCAAGATGGTAAAATGGACATAAAATGTTGTGGCTCCCGGGTGGTTTAATTCTTGTTGAAAGGACAAAATGGCTCTCCTGAACATTTTGGTTGCGACCCCTGAGCTAAGCCGACTAGTAAGGGGTGATCAGCACGTGGGGTCAGCGCATGACCATTTGCTCAAACTGTCTGCGGCTCAGTCAGGGTTGCACAGTCGCCACCAGCCCAGTTAACGCCTGTGTTCTGTGGTTCAGATTTTGTGCGGATTGACTGAAGCCCGTAGCAAAATTGTAGAGAAAATTTTCGTTATAGCTACAGAAAAGGTTTTAGGCACTACAGCTGTTAGCTACACTTCATAAAACTACAGCTATTAGCTACAAAAATGTGTAGTTAGCTACAAAAAGTAGCGCACTACTTAGCTACTCCCCCATCCCTGCATACCACTTCAATGGGAATGGGTGGTGGTATGTAAATGTGCTGATGGTTGTGCCATCAGAGCTACGACGACTTCAAAACAGGCAGCTCACTCTTATTTTGACAAAAATGTCGATTATATGATTTGGGCCCTTAAATAGTTACTTGCATGCATTGAGTACCACTTAGTGTAGCCGTTACCATGACAACAAGCATCACATGCAGAATGTATTTAAACTTCAGATTGAGAATGTAATTAACGGGTTATTTACGATGTTCAATTGAATTGTGTTTGGAATGGCCTAAGTCAGACTAGTCTATTCCGACTGAGGTGTGTATTCTATTCTAAATGAGCTATTAGTCTGATTATTGATGGATTATCAGGTTGCATGTGGAAGTGGCTACTGTCAAATTTAACTGAGTAGAAACACAGTTCAGGATTGAGTTTAAACAGTCAGCTGAATCTGTACAACATCAGTGTTCTGATCTAAGGCTGTAGCCAAAAGCAGACGTGTTTATACAGTCCATCAAATTCTTATTTTTAAAAAAATGTATGTTTTATATAATATTGGCCCTTTGATGGTTTTGTTTTCATTTCAAATCAAACCAAACAGGATTTAAGAAGACCACCTACAAACCTTTAACAATCAGCTGTACTTTCGTTTGTTTGTTGATAGCAGGAATGAAGCAGGTGTACAGTCCTCCATCAGCCTTCTGGACACTGCTGAGTGTGATGGAGAAGTTTCCCTTTGTCCACTCAGCTGGAAAACTTTCAACTCTGTGTCTGAATGATGTGTCCTGTTCATCAAACAACACTTTGTTGTTGATGATGTCGTACACAGTCCTGCTGTCTCTGAATCTCCAGAACACAGTGACTTTATCCTGCGGTGCCTCATCACTGTTTGAACATGGTAAGATGATGTTGTCTCCTACAACAGCTTCAATCTCCTGCAGGGACACTGAAAGAGAGACACACCAAAAAACACATGAAATCAAATGTCGGCACAATCTGGCTTTTATTATTATTCTTGCCGTCGCCTCACAGAAAGAAGGGCCTGGGTTCGAATCCCCAGCCGGGCGACCAGGGTTCTTTCTGTGTGGAGTTTGCATGTTCTCACTGTGACAGTGGGGGTTTCCTCCCACAGTCCAAAGACATGTGCTCAGGGAAAATTGGAGATGCTAAATTGCCCCCATGTCTGCTCTGTGATGGACAGAACATATGGCAGCTGCTACGATATTAACAATTTATTATTTAACGTAGATTCATTATTTATGCTTTAAATTATGAGGTTTTTTTCTGGTGCTCACCTGTATTTATCAGCAGCAGGAGCACACAGACAGGCAAATGTTTTAGTCCTGTCCAACAACCAAGTCTGCAGTCCATAGCACAGGCTCAGAGGGTCACTTCATAACCATCAGGCCAAGTCAAAGCTGAATAAAAAACAAACCTCTTAGAAGCTGTTTGCTCAGACATTGCAAACATTGGAGAACTATTTTCATAAATTAAATGTTTTAAAGAACAGAACCTTTTTAAAGTTTAACCTCCACACAATGTAAAGGTTCTAGAAAAAACATTTAAATGAGTAGAGAACCTTTCATTATGTGGTTCTGAGCACAGAGGGTAAACGTTCCAGCGGCATTTCCACACGGACACTGTTTGACACAGAACGCTTTAAATCTCGGCTTAGCACAGTTTTTTTCAACACAGTTAGCTAACCGTGCTCGGGGCCACAGAACCGTTTGGAAGGATGACGTAACAATGATTGCATTTATATGCGCTCAATAATCCAATCATAATCACATTTCTGCAGTTATTTGATTATTCTAATGGTCATGTAAGCAGCATCCTCCAGTTGCTTAGATTTGAAGAAGTTCTAGAAATCCGATTAAGAAATCCGATAAAGAGAGCTGGACTTTAGCTCAGTAATCAGTGCGTGTGTACCCTTACTCTGATTTCTTTCATATGTCTTATTTTCCCTCAGTGTATTTATACCCCTGTGTTTGTTCAGTCTTTGTCTTGCATTGTGGATGTATTTGTGGAAGTTTCCTTGTCTCTTGTTTGCTTTCTTCTTGTAGTTTGTTTTTGTTTTTGTCATGGACTCGTCCGTTTTTCAATCTTCTTCTACTCAGATTCTGGACTCTACTTTGAATAAAAGCAACTCGCATTTGCATCCCGCCTCCTTGTCTCAACCGTTACAGCGTGGTGGCAAGATGGCAGCAAAACACTTTTTTGGAGCAACCCTGAAACCAACTACATGCTTGACGAAATGAAAATTTTAAATGTTCTATATTTAAGTGCATGTAAATGCACTCAATGTTGCTATTCATTATTTGGTTCTAGGGTTATGTCAGTACTGAATGCCTTTAACCCTCATAAGTCAAAGGGTAAGATTTAGGGTAAGATTTTGTTCTGTAACACACATTTGTGAAAAATCTTATCTTGACCTGTCAGATCTTAATTTAAGACAAAAAGAGAGAGTGTTTCTGTAGTACAGCCTCAATACGACTTAAATATAATTGCAAAGGATTATGTTACAATTATGTTCCGTAGCTAAAGTTTCTGAAGACAGTTTAGTCCCTTTTATTGAAGGTGAATGTTTAAAACAGGCCTGAACAAGCAGCAGTGAGCTGCCATGTGGATGTTCATGTTTCATTCTCTGTCATTTTTTTTTCAGTAAGGTATGTGAATCAGGTTCAGTCAAGAATAGACTCACAAAGCTTTTCCCTGCAGCGTATTTTGTCTTTGCCTTTATGAGTGTTTCCTTTAGGGCATTTCCCAAGGCTCCAAAAGCTCTTCTGTTCACCGTCTATAATTGTAGCGTCCTGTTACTGACCAACACTGGCTCTGAGAGACTCTGGAAGTGGGGTTCTGGCTGACCCTGGCTGATGGTGACATCCCCCATAGTTCAGTCTTCTGCATGTGCCTTTCTGCAGTTTCGCAGCAGAAACATGGCCTCCCCTGTCTTTCTTCTTCTGCCTATGCTACACTGGTGTCAGAAATTGGACAGCACCAACAGCATGGTGCGCTCGACAGCGAGGTCGATGTTGTAAAACTGGAGGCCGGGACTGTCGCGAGGGGGCCTGATGGTGAGGCAAGGCATGCCGGTGTTGCAAACAAAAGAGAGGCTGGCGGAAGTGAAGCTGAAAAAGAAACCGTCAAAGGCTTCTGTGCACAGCTACTGCTGCGGAGATTAGCATTTACCCTCATTCAGTGCTTGAATTCAGTTCATGAAGGCCTTGCTAATTAGCCGATGAGCTGAATCAGGTGTGTTTAATGAGGCAGTGTGCTGAAGTCTGCAGTGTTTTGGCCTGCGAGGACTGGAGCCTGACACATGTGGCATAGACAGATGCTGGCTGGAGGGTTCAGCAGCAGCTGCGGGTAGTGAGTCAAGCGTGGCATGGATGACAGGTGGCTCATTGTGCTTAATTTATCTTAATCATCAGCAGGACCACAGTGTTATAATACACTTCTATAACCTGAGAATAGCATAGCCAGTTTACATTAAAGTCCCTGTAGTTAGTGAATAATAAGCCTTAGTATGTAATAAGCCTGGGATTTAAGGGGTTAATGGATACAAAGCTGTTTTTAACCTTAGTTCTGCATATATAATTCAAGTAATCATCATTTTAGGGTAAAGATTGCATTAAAGTGATTATTTAAATTGTGTTCTTAAAATTACAGTGGAAAATAAAAGTAAAAGCAAAACTGAATTATGTTGAACTAACCAATACTGTCTGTAAGATTTTGCAAAAACCACCTACGTTTCCTCTTAAGTATAAAACTTACGTTGGGAATTTCTCTAAGTTTCTCAGTAGCATTAAAAGGAAATTCAGTTTGTCAACATTTCTGAAAAAATTTTCATCATTAAGATGTAAACAGAGTGATTCAGAGTGGTTTGGTGTGAAATGGTTCAGATTTCTTTACAGTGGTGCTGATAGGAACCAGGGGTCGCCATGACTACAACACAAATATAGACTTTTTACTTACTATACAGAACCACCAGAGAACCTACATGTGCCTTCTGGGGGTTTATATGGAATGTTGATGATGGAAAATAGTGGACTATTTTGCCTCACAATGCTCTGCATGTATCCCTCCACCATTAGTGTGCTATAATAGAAACATATTCAGCCGAAATCTTCTCAAAACTATCATAAAACAATGTCTCAGTCATCAGGCAGTGCATTCATAACTGTAACATAACATAATTCTGTGAGGGAGCTTTTAGAGGTGGACGTCTGGTTCCTGTCACCACCACTGTGAACAATTCTGACTCTGTAAGTTTCTCTAGAACGAAGCATTTCACACCAAACCAGATATGCAAAATGTTAAAAAAACTGGCAGACGTCCCCTTTAAGCACTGAAGTAACAGCATATTGTCTTCTGTACAGCTTCAGGCTGATGAATTGAGGCTGAAGTAAGACTGTCTCTAATATAATAACTCAATTTTATAATATAATAACTTATTTTCAGGTAAAGATTACAATAAAGCTACTGGGTGAGTAAAAGTATCACATTCAGTCAGACAAGTTAAACAGTGCCTCAGACAGCTGTACTGTTTAAATATGTATTAATGATATGAACACACACATACCTCTTTATGTGTTCATCAGCTCTGCTCTCTGGACTTTCTGTAGGAGCCTGAATCATTAAACAAACAGAAAAACAAAGTTTGAGATGAAAGAACTTCATATGTTTCAGTGCTCAGTGTCTTCTTGGAGCAGTAGGGCGTCACTGCAAGCTTGAAAAGCTCTAAACTACAAATGGGCAGACAAGAGCTCCAAATGGGAGGAGTGACTTTGCTATTGTTTGTTCAGCGGTCTGGTTGGTTATCTGTGACGAATCAGATCATAATGTTATTTTTTTGTTTTTGTTTTTAGAGAAATGGCTCTGTTCTGCCTCTCTACCTTTACTATGAAGTATTTTGGCTGCAGGGTCACATAGTTTTAGGTTTTACATCAGAAAGAAAAACTGCCATTTCCGGCATGAAGACATTTTACATTGTACATAAAACTCTCCCTGCAGATAACGGACCAAAAAACCATTAGGATTAAATAGTGTTGCTCCGATACTGATACTGTATCGGCATCGGCGCTGATACTGGCCATCAGTGATGGGGATACCGACAGCTATGACCGACACCATGAAGCAATTTCTGACGCAAGCATGCACGCCAGTAGATAGAACATGACAACATGTCGGCGGTGTGTGACGACAAACAATGACAGATTTTGGTGTTAAGAACTCGCTAACGGAGCCGCTTACCTGAACGGCTGAGCTGCTTCTGTCAGTAATCACTCGTCTGCCGCTGCATGGTCACTCACAGTCTGAGTTAATGTTACTGAGAGAGCGGAAGCAACCACCAGACTCTCGGCGTAATGACAGCATTTAGCCTCAATTTAGCCTTTAGCGGAGCAGCCCACTAGCCGGGCCTGTGCGTTCACTAGCCCTGCCTGCGGTGCGCCTCCATCGGTCAGCTGTATCACTCAGCAGTGGGGTCTCGCGGCCCATCGCTTCAATCAAGCCAGAAAAAACACTGAAATTCGGACAGCATGAGTGATGATATTTACTGAACTGATGCTCAGAGATGCAGTGCGAGTGAACAAGACACAGGTGAGACAGACGACTTGAGAAATTTGGACGTGAAACAACATTCAGCTTAGTTTTTGAGCCAGAGAAGCTGCGTTGTGCATAATTATATGATAGTAAATACTAAATATATACAGTAAATAAACAAAATTCAGTTTTCTTAAGCATCTAACAAATATAATCCAAAAACTAAATACCATCTAGCTAAGCTGGGTGTGTTTTATTTGTCATGTCAGGACTTATAGGTGAGTTAGTGTTGGTTTCAGTATCGGCCGATACTAAAGGATCAGGTATCAGAATCGGAAAGGAAAAGATGGCATCGGTACATCTCTAGGATTAAACCTAATGGTTTTGCATTCTAATGGAAATTGGCTTAATGGTTTCCAACAGAGACCACTAGTTTCCTTTATAACACCTTTAGATCCCATTAGGAAACCATTAAACGCATTTAGAATCAGCCACTGGTCACCTGTCAAACCTGAATTTAAGTGTAAAACACACTGAGTAATATATGGCTTTCAGTTTCCGCCAACAGACACTACATTTCCCAGAATGCCCCAGCATTTCTACTTCGAAAGCCTTAAATTTTTGCCAATTAGGCTGTAGACAGTGACTGTTAAACACTTGTATCCTAACAAAGAGCATCAAAATCAAAGGCATTATTGTTACAGTGTCTAATTAAATGTAATGCAAAGTTTTCTAGCTAACATTTTAGCGTTTTTGTCTCAAAGTAATTCAAACGCTTGAGTGTAAAATTAAAACAAAGGCGTCAGTAGAACAGGGAGATGGAGCGAAAGGAGAGTTACTGCTTTCAGATTTTTGTTTAGACCAAAAGGATCAA